ATATATGGTGCTTTGTGGCAGCCCTTCACTCTACATAGCGTCGGAACCTCAAAAAATGCTATAAAAACCTCTAAAGACACTCAGAAGCTCCGAAAATGCGTTGGAGGGATTCTAGAGAGAGAATCTAGTGATGTGACTAGAGAGAGAATGAGAGAGGTGTGTGAAATGAGGGGAATGGAAGCCCTATTTATAGGAATTCGCGCCTGTCAGGTCGAGACGGCGGTCTCGTCTGACAAGGTCGAGACGGCGGTCTCGACAATCGAGACGGCGGTCTCGCTTTGCAGGAATGGCGAGACGACAGTCTCGAATCCGAGAAGGCGGTCTCGACCCCCAAAAGGCGAAAATTCTTATTTTTGTGCCAAAAATCCCTCTTATCCTAGTATGAGGCCTAATAGTCTCTCCTAGTGGCTTCTTAGGCTTCATCCATCTTCGAAAAGAAGGTCTTCTGATCTTTATTATGAGGCTGGGCAAGATTTGGGGTCTACACTCATTTCAAATAATTAGTTTATTTGTAAATAATAGATTAATAAGGTAAACATATAATTTTAATTTGCGATTTAGATGAAAATTGAATAAAAGAGTACATGGCGGTGGGAGAGAGTACTATTTAAACACCAAAACAGAGTATTTACCCTTCACCACGCATGAAAGTAAGAAGCAGTCTCCACCATTTTCTCTCTTCACTGTGTGTTCCGGAGTGGTAAGATTCTTCTACCTCTTTTCTCCTTTTGAAAAACTATTCTGCTTTAGCTTAAGCCGATTGATGACCTTTTATTGGTTATAGGAGAAATTCATAGTTTTGTCTTTTTTTGTTGAAACCAGGAGAAAATGGGTATGGTTGATAAAATGAAATAAATTGAAGCAAAGATTTCTTGGACCTCCAGAAACAGAGTCACAGGTACTCATAGTGTATCCTTTGCATCTGTCTCCTTTTTATAATATTCTTGATTGTGTTAACCAAAGAGTTTGTGATTTCTTTTTTGTGGAGTGTTTGTTGTCTCTCTTCCTTTCTTTCTAAATAATTCTTGACCTTATTTAATTCATGGTCTGATTTGGGGTTTTAGATTAGCTTTATGTCTTCGACATTCTCGTGATTATGCACAGTCTCGTGTTGGGTAAGTCAAGGCTGTTTGACAATCGGAGGGGGGGAAATGCAGTGGAAATTTCACCGATGGAACGCTTAGCTAACAACACAATACAAAGAATAAACAAAACATATTACTCAATTTGTCCATTTCAAAGATTAAACTAAGTACACAATTATAAAAGTCTTCGCACTCATAGTTACTATATCACATTGTTTCTTGTTTATATTTGGGGTGTTCATCAATCTTTTTCCTATATTTTGCATTCTTTGAGTTCTCATTGAGGTGTTTATACATTTTGGGTCTCTATCAATATTTTTCCTTATATTTTGCATTCTTAGCATTGCTATTACTGATGCAATGACACATGTTCTTTAAACTTGGACATTTGTATCGAATAAAACCTCGGACCCAGAAAAACAAGGTTATCGGTGCACATTGGGTTCCCAGAAAAAAAAAAAAATTGTCTCTTTTTAATATAATTGCTTGTTCCTTCTTTTCAGACTCCTTTTCTTTTTTAATAATCCTTTGACCTTATTTAATTATGATCTAATGTGTTAATACTCACAACCTTGTTTGAACCTTGTTAGGCTTATGAGAACCAATTTTCCGTCAATTGCCACTGGCCAGTGGCAAGAAGAATATAAGAAAACAGAACAAGATAAGTTCTTGAACGCCAATTTCTGATATAACACCATTTATAATTATGTTTCATTATGCTTTTAAATTCTCATTGACATTGTTGTATGGTTTTAAAAATATAATAATGTTTAAGTAACCGTTTGTAAACAGTTCAATAAATTTTATAATATTAATCCATTTTAATTAGTGATTATGAAATTAACATTTTCTTTTCTACTTCGATTAAGTTTAATTATAAGATTTATTACCTTTTATTTTTATTAACATTTTATGTTTTTTCAATAATACAATATTTCTTTTCTTAATTACTTATTTGAAATGTATTTATATTTTATTTTTCTTTATTTTTTATTATATTGGTTTCTATGTAAATATTTTTATCTAATCTGAAATATTTTGTTCATTTATGGTTCATTTATTCTAGAATTTTGACAAATGATGAGATTAGTAATTAGGTATGTGGTAAATCAGGTTCTAGCATACTAAAGTAGAGCATCAATCTCACATTGTCTTCAAAGATCTTTCTCACTAAATGGATGCTGTGTTTGTGAATTCTTGTATTGAATTTCAGTGTAGGGATTTGTTTTAAGGGAAGGACGAGTAAAAACAATGAATGCGTGGTTGACATTAAATGGGTAAAATTTTCAAATTGGCATCTTGTATTTACATTCACCATCTGAGAATGGAATTTTGGTAGAAAAGTCAAATATATTTGACTGTCTAGCAATCAGATGAGGCCATAGATTTTTAAAACAGATTTAGGGTTATTTTAAGTTTTTGAATCATTAAGACAAGTGATGATTGGTATGTTTTTTTTAATCACTTTTTCATGATCACGTTTTTTTTTATTTCCATATTTTGAAATACTTTTTTTCTTTACATATTTCAAAATTAAAAGATATTATTCTATTTTTTTTATGGTTTAACTTATATTTTTCAAAACACATAATTTTCTTTAGTTTATTGTTTTTATTTTTTCCGGTATTCTTTAAAAATTCTACACATTTTTTAAACTTTATTTTCTACACATTTTTTAAAAGTTTTTAAATTAACAACGAACATAAATAATTATTTTTACTAAATAAACATTCGGAGTCAGTAGTTTTTTTTTTTCTATTTATGGGTTAAGTGTAAAATCACAAGTTGTTGATTATATTGAAATTGAATTCAATCAGTATTTTTTGAAGATTTTGAATTTGAGTATTGTAAATAAAAATTTAAAGAAATATTTTTATTAAAATGGATATGTACTTTTCAAAAAGTTGACAAAAATAAAGTTGAAGCAGAGGTTAGTTGGTTGCAATGGTGTGTTTTCCAGTTCCACACGGTTGTAAGTAGGCATCATAAAACGATTTTTTTTTTTAATTGTTCTTTAGAGTTAGAAATTAAGTTTTTATTTTTATTTTTGTTAGATTTTAGATGTTTTTGATTTTGTGATTTATATTAATTTTAAAAAATAATTATATTTATAATAAATTAATTTTATTATATATTTTTTATATATAAATAAATATTTATAATTTTATAATTTATAAGTATTATTAATTAAACATATATTTTAATTTATTATATTTATATTAAAATATTATATAAAATAAATATTTAATTATTTTTTATTTATATATATACAGATAATAATTAAAATAATTGATATAATTGAGGTAAAAGATTAAAAAAGATAAAAAAAATAAAAGTAAGAAAATATAAAAAATATTTTATGATAAAAAAATTATTTTTAAAATATTAATATTTTAAAATTTAAATATAAATACGAAACGAAAATAAAATTACAAGAGAAATTACATTATCCATTCCATTCTGAATTCAAACTCAAATTTACTACACTTATATCAATTTGTTTTTTTTTTTTTATCAAACTAAGAAGTTATCACGTGGATGAGTTTAATTACCGTCCGTTTGCAAGTTTAATATTTTGAGATTATTCTTGAGAATCAAGAACTTTTTTGAACTGACTAATAAATTTAGGTAAAGTTTGGCTTATTCTTCAAATGACATTAGGGATATTTTAATTGTTTATTTGCTCGCTTTTCATGTTTTTTTTTGACCTAGAATATATATATATATATATATATATATATATATATATATATATATTAGTTCTTATACATATATTTTTTAATTCTTATAATTTTATACATAAAAAACTAAAACGATTTTTTTATATACAAATTAAGAAAAGTATTTTTTTAGATTTATGAATTAAAAAATAAAAATTGTGCAAATATAATGACTAACTGTAGGGTTAAACTTGAAGGAGTGAATTTCAAGACTTATAGTCTTTTAATTTTAACAAATAAATTTATTTAAATAAATATAAATAATATATTAATATTACTATATAAGTTTATTTTACGTTAAAATATTTAAAGTTTATAATTAATCTCTGTAATTTTTTTCTAATTTTGGTCCCTCTAATTTTAAAATATATTACTTTAGGTCATTAAGATAGTTTATACTTTTATAAAAAAATGGTTTAAATAACATTTTAAGGACCAAAATGTAGTGCATTTCAAAATTAAAGGGATAAAAAACGAAAAAAAAACTTTTAAAAAGCATTAAAACTAAATTTTCCACATGTCCGAAAGATTAAAAGAATATTTTACCCTTTATGTTATTATTATAATTAATTTTTTTATAATATCTTGAAACTATATGTTCATTATTTCATTTAAATGTTTAAGCTCACTAACCTACAGCAATTAAAAATAATTTTTTTACTTATTTAAAATTTTGGTACAGAAGAAGTTTTTTTTAAAAAACTTGAGGCCTAAGTCTAGTTAAAAAAACGAGGTACATCAAATAGTATGCCAGACTTGAACCTTTACAAAATGGTAATCCATCAGCAGTTTGTGAATAATAACTTTGTTTTCCAATATAATTAGGTTTGGAGAAAAATGCATTAGCTCTACTTCTCTGTTAATTCAGATATGTTAAGTTTTCAGTCATGTTTGTTAGTTTGATAAAGGGTTTACACTAATTACAGAGATGCTACTACTATTTCTACACAGTTGCAAAATTTTGTTACTTTTTTAATTTTTTCATGGAAAACTCCTTTAATTGACCTAGGAACAAGCTATGGAAGTTGCAGCAAAGGATTTACATCAGAAGTCCTTCATTTAGTTTATCTTTCATCACAGATGTTTTGGTTTGCGGTAAAAATATATCGACTAAATCTAATTTCTAAGGTAAACGTATGCTTACAAAAAAGTGTAAAAAAAAAATGTCCAAGAAATGAAGAAAATTGAACATGTATCATGGCGTCTCATCAATGGTCTCCAGTGCTGGTCTCCAAGATCTCTGCTTGGAGTACCTTTCGACTGGTTCTGGCTCCCTTACCACTTGATTAGCAGTTTCTAATCTCTTTAGCTCCGAAGGGAACATACAAAATTCACTGAACACTGGAAAAATCTTTCCCAAGTTGTTGAAACTTGCATGCTTGGTTGCCCTTGATGCTTTGTAATTAAGAGAGCTCATTTCTTCATGGGTTAGCACAGAGTAGAGCAGCTCCATTGGTAGAAGGAAGTAAAATTTGCGCCTCTCAAGTTCCTCATCAGCTAGGAGCCCTTGAATGCGGTGTCCCACTTTTAGGTAGGAAGAGTCACAGACAAACTGTCCAGGGTATTCTAGCATCAGTTCTGCAGCTCTCATTGGTTTTGTGTAGGTCTCTAACCTCCCATCTAAGAATAGCACCTTGATGCCCCCATTGGCTGTGAAGGAAGGAGTGCAAGAAGCTGCGTTGCCCATTTCTGCGTAAGTCACAAAGGGAAGTTGGAGCTGAGGGAGTAGGTTGTCAGAGCTTCTCGGAATGTGACTGTATTTATCAGGTAAGCTTCCTGGTTGTTAAGAAAGAAAGAAAGAAAAATAGTTGTTTGTCGTTTTCTGGCTGAAGGTCCATAGTTGGGTAATCAGTTAGCATATCTTTATTACGATATTCTGATTTTATTATTTTGGCACTGAAGTTTGTCGTAAGTGTTGTTATATCTTTATAGCTAAGTTTCCCATCTGGCAGAGGCTTAGTTTTTATGCAGATATGAAATTAAGAGAAAGTAGGTGTGTCTTTGAGCATATAATCTATTTGCCCCTTGTGGTAAAGCTCATCTTTTTAATTAAAGGTTAGAAAAGCCACAAATGAAGGAAATAGGCCAACCTGGCAAATTTGGCCTATTTTGACTTAGATGTATGGAAAAATCATGCACATTACTTTCCAGTTTGTTTAATTTTGTATTTCTTAGTGTCTATTTGTCAAGAGAATTGGAGACTAGTTTATTGGAGTGCACATGGGGAGGGATGGACAAAAGGCTACGGGATTTAGATAACCTAACTTAAGGACACTACCAAACTAATGATTAGATATGGTACCATGTAATTTCTTTGATTTTATACCATTTATAAAGGATTCACCTGATATCTGCTAATGTTTACACATGCACTTTGTTTTGGATGATATGAAAGGAACATCTGCATTTGATGGCAAACGTCAAATCTCTTGGTATCCAGTCACCATCCGATGCTAGCTTGCACTATATTCCCATGAACTCATTTTATTAATTGCCTGAACATTTTTCTTTTGCACCTATAGGGTCTACCCGTTGTCATGTGGTCTGCTATTAATAATTTCCACACAATTGCTGGAGCGCACAGGTAATTAGATAAACAGTCTCTACTTTGTCAAATCTTCAAGAATAACTGAAAGAAAATCAACCACTTTGGCATTGACACGTTCTGAATTCTCTTAAAATGTCAGGATCTAGATTTAATAGGATGTTTTCGTGTAATACATTTGTTGGGAGAGTAGTTGGCTAAAATCAAAGTCATAGGGTATAGTTATTGATTAAAAAAGGTAGGTAAAACAGTGAGAAGTATTAAATTTGCTTGCTCAATTAACAAATGAAGAATCTTCAGTAGGACAACTAAATGATTGGCATTTGGTTTTGGACTTGGCTTATAATTAGTTGTCATAGGGGTTGAATGTACATTGAATGTTTGATCTGATGGGTTTTCTGCTTGTTTCCTATCGAACAGAAGGAATGATTGGCAAGCAGCGGTTTGGTTGTTGCTTAGATGGTTGACATCAACAACAACATAAACACACACAGTTCACAAACTGTTAAACTACTTGCTTTCCTTCCTCGTTTCTTCTAGAAGCCAATATTTATTCATGATCATAAAATGAAATAAAACGTATATACCTGCTATATTTGACTGCAACATGGAACCGTGCATAGTAATGGGAAAGCAAAGAGAAGATTTTTTCTTGAAACCACAGATGTTTATAAAGAAAATTGATCAAGCCATAGAGGTTCCTTTAAAATTATGTGTGCATAAATTAAATTACTTATAAATATACTTCTACTTTTTGTACTTTTACAGGTACTAAGTATCTGTTCATGCACAGGCAAATTGGTTACAGCTCCAACCCATACAACTTGAAGATCTCTGGCCAATTAACACCAGCTCTTTGCTTTGTTCCAAAAGAAAATCTACAATAATAGTAGGGATTTTTAATTTGCTAGCTCAACACCGCACCTTTTGGTGCAACCAAGAAGCCGGAAAGGGAGTACAGTAGGGATGTTTAATTAACTAACTACCATAAATGTTTTAAAATTAGTACAGTCATTTATCTATATATATATATATATATATATATATATATATATATATTATTTATTATAGTTTTTTATAATTAATTAATCCAAAGTGGTAACTCAATTAAACAATTTAATTGTCTTTTTAAAATTTACCAACTGTTTATTATTAATTATTTTAAAATTATCATATTCATATATAGATATATAATATTATTAATTGTATGATTAATTTCTATGAATGGTTTAGATTTATTTTATGAGGATAATAATGAATACTGAAAGGCTTTATAAAAAAATTATATACCCATCTTAATAATCTCTTTACGTCGAAATATTAATTTCTTATCCTTAAAGTAAAAGTAAAATAAAAAGAACCATGATATTAGGCTAAGCATTAAAAATTATCTTTTATATTAGTTTGTCGCGTCTCAAGCTGAGAGGGGACCAAGCCAATGATTAAAGGACACGTGTGATGGAACAGGAATTAACGACGCGTTGGGACGTTGAACTTGAACAACAACCTCATCCCTAATGAGTTAACGCTCTCCACTCGTCCGTGTTGCTTCTTCTTCTCCTTACTCAGGTAAGTCTTTCATGTTTGTACTTATCACTTCCTTGGCACGCTCGTTTGAGCTTTTGTGTTTAAAGGAGCTGTTTTGAAGCTTGCTAGTTGCTGTATCAGCTGATTTCTCTTCTCTTCAGGGATGGCTTATGTTCCAGTTGGAAATGCAAATTGCAACTCTTTATTCCAAAAAATTGCAATTTCCCATGTGGGTGTTTCTGCTTTGCCATTCTTCCAACCGGGAGTGAAATCTTGTACGGTTTTTAACAGAGGTCCGTTATTTAGTCAACTACTTGTGTAATTTGTGCTGGCTTCATTGCAATAGAGATGCTTATTTTCTTCTCTGAAAATTGAAATTATTTTTTAATGTTGTATGCTGCAACAGTAGTTTGTTGTTCTGTCAATTAACTTGTGATTCGTTAATAAAATTTGGTTTCATTTTTAGTGACACTCTTCGTTCCCTCCCTGCTCACTGTTCAGGAACAGTAATTCCCAAGTGCTTAAATGGAAAGAGGAATATATTTAATTCCAAGTTGTCAAAGAAAGAGAGATTATCTATCCCTAGAAGTAGTAATTCTTCCGACTCTGGTGGAAGTACGGATGAACCCTCTAAAGAGACAGAGGTACGTGAATACTAATGTGATGATATTATTGTCATATTTAGATACTATTACCCAGGGGCGATTTTATTTGATTGGAGATTGCTATCAGCCTATATTTTAACCATGGATCTTGAAATCTTTAGAAGTTATTTGTTAGTCCTTTTTTTTTTTTTTGAGTTATTAGAATCTATTCCAGGGAGGTTTGTTGGACCTATTCTAATTAGATGTCGAGTCCTTAATGTAAGAGGGAGTGTTTGACATCTCATATTGTGTAGAGATATGGCCAAAATAGAGTTTATTTTAGTGAGGTTTGGTAGACTTATCATGCACTATTGGACTTCCTGCATTTATCTAATCTCATACTTGAGATTTCCAATTCATATGTGAAGGAAAGTGTTGGAAATTCCTAGAGATATGACTAGAATAGAATATATAAGTGTGATCTGATAAATTCATTTCCTTTTAGTTTGATATTTTATGATGTTGTCTTCTGAAAATTATGACCAGTCAACTGGTAATTAATTAAGATTTAGTGTTTTGGTTGTGGAAATAGCTTCAATAAATTGCGAGTAGAAATACTGCATGTTATCTTTGTCTGAATTATATTTAAGTGTGAAATCTTCAAATTGCTTTATCAGCCATGCCATCTCAAACATATTACAAAATGGGACACCTGATGCATATTCCTTTTTGAATGTTACAGAAGACGCCATTTGGATATAGTAGGAAAGATGTCCTATTAATTGGACTTGGGGTTACTCTACTTGGCATTGGCTTAAAAAGTGGATTAGAGGTACCTTGCTTTTTGCTCTTATGTGATCATTGGAATATGTTTCCCTTTTCTTTATATATGTATTTTTGTCCTTCAACATCTTTCTACTTGGCTTATTCCATTTCTTAAGTGATAAAGCACGTAGTTTGAAGATATTAACTAATGGTTCAGGTTTCTTGTAAATAAAGAACGCAGTTAGTGTACCTTATTTAAATTGTTTTTGCCATGATGCAATTGATATCATATAGGCACTTATGCAGTGGGTTAATTCACGCAACTGATTTTGGGTAATTTTTGCAGTTTGCTGGAGTTGATTCACTACAAGCAGGAAATGTGGTTCAGCTACTGCTGGTTTTGGGCCTCACAGTTGGGTGGATCGCAACATATGTCTTCAGAGTTTCAAACAAGGAAATGACATATGCACAACAACTACGTGACTATGAAAGCAAAGTGATGGAGGTACAACAACAATATTAACAGGGTTGCTTTTTGAAAATAACTACTTTTTGCTTGACCAAAAGAATTGTAAGTGCATGTTTGGGTATTGAATATGATATTTCCGGGTCAAATTTGTCAATCTTTTTCAACCATCTATTAGATTGGTTAAAGGCATAATATCTAGTGCTATGATATCATAACCCTTTATCTTTAAGAAAATATGAATGAAATAGAAAAGATCATCAGTCTTAAATAGTGAAAATGGGGTGACTTTACAAAATATGTAATGACAATATATTGATCCTACCACATGAGCTGGCTATAACCAAAGCGGTGTCCTCTAATAAAATATTTACTGTGACATGACGCGGCCAAACATCAGACAATTTAGATGCAAACCTGAAAATATTACTCATCAATTGTTGTATGCTTCGTATGGAACATTTGTTGAAGCATGTTACTTTGCAGATTGCACTGGTTATGATCTCTTTTTGTTGGGAACTGTTCTTAATAATGCCTTGGACTAAATATGAGTTGTAAGGATGCATTACTTAATTCAAAATGTTTCAGTCAAGTGAAAAAGTTGATTGCTTAATGGCATGATAAAATATTACTTTTACTTCCCCTCTTGTATGAGCTTGAGAGACTGAGTCTGAAACATTCAGATGTCCCGAAAAAGTGTGTGTAGTGAAAAAATCCTTCTAAACATATGGCTGAAGCTTGAAATTTTGTCTGCCACTGGTTGTGTTAAAAAATCTGTCACATTGTTTCTGAATATACCATGACATTGAATAATGTTGGCTGTATGGAATCTGCAGAAGCGGTTAGAGTCCCTAACAGAAGCAGAGCTACAAGCACTGCTTGAAGAAGTTGAGGAAGAGAAGAGACGCTAGGTAGTGGGCTTGTTTGTATATACACTGAAATTTTGCCAAACTCGTTGAAACAGATATTTCAATCTATATGAAAGTGGAACTAGTTCAGAAAGGTTATAGTTATATGCTTTCTTCTGTAAGATAGGATGATAATGCTGTAAAAATCCACATATATATATATATATATATATATATATATATATATATATATATTACTTTTTCTGTGATTTTGTGACTCACTAAATATTTTATTATTTTTGTTCCCCATTTTTTGGAGACCAGTGTTTTGATAAATGAGGAAATTGTGATAAAGACCATTCCCAGTGACAATGTGTTGTGTACCAGGAGGGGGGGGACCAGGAGGGGGGTGTGGGGAGTGCAAGAGTTGACAATACTAACGTGTGCTGTGGTAAAGTTATCATTTGATGTTTCTTAATATTTGACGGCTTTCCATCCACAGATTATTACTTCCTCAATCCTAATTTTAGACTCTTAATAATTCGATTACGTTTTTTCAAAAAAAATCCTATAATTTTTTTATTTGAGAATATGAAGACTCGTTGATTATTTAAAAATATAGTAAAAAACATTTGATAAAAAAAAATCGAAAATTTAGGGAGGATGAAATTAGAGAGAAAAAACAAATGGATGAGTAGTATTAAAATGTATATAGATGATGGGATCCACTTAAACCATTTTCTTTGTTATGAGACGTGAAATTGGATGACAATGGTAGTAGTGGTGGCTTTTATATTTTTGTTTTGATTTTATTTTATAGAAAGTTTAAATTTGTTAAATAAATAAGGTGGTAAGAAACAAGTTTTTCCAATTATCGTTTAATTTTTTTTCCATACATATTAAAAAAAAGTAAAAAAAAGAAGAAGATACTTATATCCATCCACCACACAGTGTGTAAAGAATGGCAATAGCATGGTAAAAATAACTTAAGAAAAAATAAATAATAACAGATTCTAAAAAAATAATCAATATTGATTCCGTCCTGTGTCCATGCCGCATGTCATGCGACTCATTTTCACTATAAATTATAAATAATAGAATAATAAACAATAAAATAGGAGCATTGGATTTCTTTGCTCTCCCTCTTCGAGGAGAGTTTGAACAGGTGAAAACGTGAGAGGTCACTGAAGTGAACAGAAGCAAAGACATCTAGATGCACACCACGTGTAACATTCTCCCCTGTTTTTCATCCATTATTATTAATCCTTTGAATATTTCTCCATGTTTAACACCAAACCCAATCATTACAATTCACTTACCTCAAGTAATTGCTCTTCTTGCCTGCACTAAACTAGAAATGATCACTACAAATTTGCAAAAAAATAAAATATAAAAATTAAATAAGTCACCTTCTCTCTCTCTAACGCTTCATCCGTACTCATGGCCGTTTTTCTTTCGCCCATTCCTCCCAATCCCAAACCACCTTTCTCTTTCTCTATCCTCTGAATTTCCATTTCCGTTTTCATATTCTCTTCTCCTTTTTGTTGTAGCGCGTCTCTCTCTCTCTTTGTTTGTTCCTTTCTGTTTGGTTTACCATGGAGTCGGCGAAGATTGCTGGCTTCGCTCTAAAAGCCCTAATTCGGGTGTGAAATTCGTGAGGGCCAAAACATCGCTGAAGAATGGGGATTGTGACTGGAGATCGGTACCTGGAGAAGTTGGTGCAGTTCGTGGAAGAGCAGGCCGGTACTTTGATCGAAGGAGCCACGGTGTTGAAGCTAAATCCGGCGGGTCTCCACTACGTGCAATCGAGGCTCGAGGCGCTGCACGAGCTTGAGAGCCTCCTCGCCGGCGCTCCCATCGACTACCTTCGTGCGTACGTATCGGACCTCGGCGACCATCGCGCCCTGGAGCAGCTGCGGCGGATACTGCGCCTCCTCACCTCGCTGAAAATCGTTTCGGTGCTGCCTCATCACATTAGGGATCCCACTCCCTTGTCCTTCTTGCCGTTTGGGCGCTTGAAGGTTCTGGAGCTCAGGGGTTGTGACTTGTCCACTTCCGCCGCCAAAGGCCTTCTCGAGCTCAGGCACACGCTCGAGAAGATCATTTGTCATAACTCTACTGTGAGTCTATTTCTGGAGTCGTCATCATCTTTTTTATAGCTTTCTTTCTCTATTTGGTGAGTGTTGGAAGTTGTTCTGTGTGTGTGTTTTCAGAATGCTCTGCGGCATGTGTTTGCTAGTAGAATAACGGAGGTGAAGAGTTCTCCGCAGTGGAACCGCTTGGCTTTTGTCTCATGTGCATGTAATGGCTTGGTTCTGATGGACGAGTCTCTACAGCTTCTTCCTGCGGTTGAAACACTTGACCTTAGCAGGAACAAGTTTGCAAAGGTGGACAATCTGCATAAGTGTACCAAATTGAAGCATTTGGACCTTGGTTTCAATCACTTGAGAACATTCGCACCCTTCGCCCTGGTATTTAGAATATTTGTTATTTCGTTATCTGGTCTTGGCATTTGCATCTAGAGATATGTCCTGGACCTAGTTTGTCTGAGATGGATATCATTTTTGCAGGTTATTGCATGTTGGAAAATTATAGTTTTCGATTTAGTTGACTGCATTGCATCAGTGGTATTGGAAAACTGGAGTTTCTTTTGTTGGGTATTTGAGGGTTACTCTGGATGTTCCTAGCACTATTGTGTCCTAACTCTTAGAAATTAGTTTTAGGGCCTAACGCAAGCCCGTAAAATTGGGCAAGATGTTTATAGCACTACTATGTCCTAACCTTTGAATATTGATAATGTGGATTTCTTCTCTTAAAAATTAATTTTAGGGCCTAATGCAACCCCATAAATTTGGCTTGTATGCTGAGGATTGTCCAAGCATTATAAACACTTTTTAAACTATATTTCTAGTTGACATGGGACTAAACCACCACACTCCTCCAATGAGGCCACAACTAAGACAGGCTAAGGATGACCACAATTTAAGGCAGTTTTCCAACTCCTCACGCCCAAGGTTACCGGTCTAGAGCTTGGCTAATACATCGTGTATGTTGTATGTGACATTTTCATGTTGATCAGACCATGTAGAAACATATGTGTAGATACTTACATGCCTCATACTTGCTAGGGTAGATACACAGAAAATTTTACGTTCCCAACTTCTCAAAATTAACTGGCGTGCTATATTTGTTTTGAGAATGTTTCTTTTTGTACTGTGGTACACTCTCTTTACAATGAAAATCTAAATAATTTCAGTAATTTTATGAACTACTTGTAAAGAACATCTTGGTCCTCTTTATTTGCTTGCAGACTTCTTCTGTTCATGGAATATTGATTGCTATTTCTGGATTGAAAATTGAGTAACGGACAGGATCCTTTGAATGAAATGAAAACACACTTTTTGTAATATCTTTGATTTTAATTGTATGCCTTCCATTTAGTGATTTGCTCTGGTGACCCATAAACAATTTTGTTGGACTATGCAGGTTTCCCGTCATATTGTTAAACTAGTTTTGAGGAACAATGCTCTAACTACTTTGAGCGGGATTGAGAATTTGAAGTCGCTTGAAGGACTTGATGTTTCCTACAACATTGTTTCCAATTTTTCGGAGCTAGGGTTCCTTGCAGGCCTTCCATATCTTCAAAGCTTGTGGTTGGAAGGAAATCCTTTGTGTTGTGCTCGATGGTATAGAGCACAAGTATTCAGCTTCTTTGCCTTCCCAGAAAGGGTAAGTTATATTGTTTACTTCCACATCCTCACTGATCCAACTATTGGTTCCATCTTGGTCTATTTGTTTGTCACTTTTTGCTGCATGCTTTCGTTTGTGTTTGTCCATGTGTTCTTGTCGGTGTTGGGTGTCGGATTTTTAGATTTTAGTGTACCTAAATATCAGTTTCAGATATCAATTCATTCTGAAGTTTATAGCATTTTCTTTATAATATTATATTCACATTTTTTGTCTTTGATTGTTTACTTTCTTCTTTCTAAACTCATATCTTGTCTTCTGTGTTAATCAGTTGAAGTTAGATGAGAAAGAAATTAACACTGGTGATTTTTGGAAGAGACAAATAATTATTGCCAGTATGCATAAACAACCTGCCAGTTTTGGGATTTATGTGCCTGCAAAGGACGAGCCTGCAGTTGAAGGTGGCAATATCAGAAGGGTATGTAATTAGTGAAACTGGATATATATTTGTATAAAATAAGAAGCATTTTTTTATTATTTTCCACCTGGAGTTTGACGCAAATCTTTCTCATTTCTTGAAAATTAAATTTCCGAAGCCAAGTTCATCTGTAAATGTACCTATAATATTGTGAAAAATCTATTACTTTCATTTTGATCAACATAGAGATTAATATGAAACTATTCTTGTTTTCTCAAGCAGAGAAAGGTATCTCGTCTTGTCAGTATTAGTAATGAAGAGACGACCAGCATGTGTTCTGACGAAGACTCTGTTTCTTGTATGAATGATGTTCAAATTCAAAATAGAGAAGATTTTGATTTATCTGACAATGAAGCTGAAATAGCAGATTTGATAAATAGAGTTGAACATATGAAGAAAGAGCGTTCTATTCATTGGTTGAGGGACTTTAAAGACTGGATGGATATTGCTTCTGACAAATCAGTACAAACCATGAATGAAGGCAGCACTGAACTTCATCATCAGAAGGAAAATTACATCAGAAACAAGGCAAATCAAGAGCAGTCTGGTGACATCTCAAGATATGCTTCAGACTCTGTCCTAGCCTCAGGGGATGACAGTAGCATGAATATTATTGAATCTGATAGTTCTTTTGTAGACACGTCTGCTAGTTTTCATAGACAACTGCACTTTGACTGTAGAGGTGTGCTTGGTAATGCTAGCCGGGCCTCTCTTTTTGACTCGGGAGGAGTGGACGCGGAGCACCGTAAATCCTCACTTGAGGGAGTTAGTAGTTCTCTTTCTCAAACTAGAATCTCCCATGCTGACACCGTTACCACCCAAGGAGCACAGAGGATGACTGAAAATGTCAACATCTCACCATTGACTATTTTTCATGATATATCAGGGTCTCAGGCATCATCTGCTTGCCCCATGTCTCCTCCTCATTTTCAAGAAGACCTTCTCCATCGCAGGCAACACCTGGTGGAGGAAATTTTGCAACTGTCAGCAGATTCCTTTTCAGTAGCATCTTCTGATAGTAACACAAGCTGCAGTGAAGTTGATTGCAGTGAATTTGAGCCATCAGTTCCAGAAGTTGATAATTTCCCATGCAAAAATTATGCGAATGGTGTTGGTCATTTATCTCAAAGTCATCTTATGGGAAAGTTTTGCAACCCAAGACAAGGAAATCTTCTTGAAAGAGAAAATGGAATTTCATCATCTAATTCTTCCTGTTACCAAACTTCTATGCAGCATTCAATTGATTTTGCTCCAGGTGCTGACAATGCTGAGAATGCATTTTGTGCTAGCCAAGACACTGGTTTGTTGGAAAATAGAAAAATCAGGAAAAAAGCCAAGAAGAGAATTATTTCAATATCAGAAGAGAATTTAGATGGCGATGCATCTGATCATACACAAGAGAAGATAAGTCAGGGACAGATTTCTGCAAATTTAAAGCAAGAATTGGACCTTGATGATTTTACTGAATTTTCTGCACATAATTACTCTACCCAAGAGAATGATGATTTGATAGTGACATATTTCAATACAAGTATTGCTGATTCTAAAGCCAGTGAGGTCTGTAGTCATTGTATGCGCTGTAATTGTGTCCTTCAGAGGGAGACAAATTATAAAGAAAGGTAATTATCAATTAAATTGATTCACTAGCATTTATGTGAATTAGCTCGGATGATCAAATGGATAACTTTATCTTAAGCAGTTTTGTTTGCTTGCGTCTCTAGTCATTTTCATAATTTTTTTCAGGTTTACTGGTCAATTATTGTTCATAATCATTATTTGTAACGTTTTAATTTTTTGGCACCCTTTGACTGTGGGAACTGTCTCATCTGCAAAAGGAAAGCAGGATAAGTTCAGCCGGCCATTTCATTCCATTCTAATCTTTCCTATGGTTTGCTGTTGATTACATTTAACATTGTCTCTTAGTAGTTGAAAAATATTGGGTTTGTCTTAAGTGGCATCCTTCTCTCAAGTGTTTAAGCCAAAATCTCCCTCTTTTATCTCATGATATAGTTAGTTTTGGTATTAATATTTTATATTTCTTTTATTTTGTCTCTCTTCTTCTAATGTTCCCCCACCCGGAAGTTCTAGATCCATTGCTGATATCTACCATATGGATGATATGATACTTTCTAAAATGAAAAATTTTTAGATATGATTATTATTTCGAGTATTCCTTTCCACACTTTTCTGTATAGATTATAGTTTGTTCGAAAAAATTTCTGCACATTCCTGAAATGGCATGTTTATTTTTTTCCCCTTTGTAGTGAAGTTGCAGTATTGCTTAGCAGCCATAAGAAGCTCTATTTGCTACTGATCAACACTGCTTCTGATGGGTCAGGTTAGGCCACAGCCCTTTGTTTTTGCTGGCACCAGGAACTTGATTGTTCCTTTCGTTTTTTATTAGATTCAATAGTCTCCTTTTGTTCATGTCTATACTGTTTCTAAAGTTATGAACCTCCTTTTCTAGCACCAGGAACTTGATTCATTTCTCTCTTCCTTGGACTGTTTCTTTTAAGTTCATATTACTCCTTTTTGTTAATTTCATCTCTTAAATACGATTTTACTTCATTTTATGCAAACAAATAAAAAAAATTTAAGCTAACTTTTTAATAATCTTAAATAACTAATCATTTTCCAAAAAAAAAAAAAAAAAAACTCAGTACTTTCAATATAATTTTTATGAAATCAATTCAACAAAATTCTAAACCAAATGAGCCCATAAAAAGGCTTAATTTTTACTTCCTCTGAATGTGAATAATGACATTTCAATTTTAACAAATTATTTTGAAAAATACATTGAAATGCATATTAATTCAACAAAATAGATCCATAAAGCTTTCTCGATTCAATGTTGCTTCCATAGCTATTAAAACCCTCTCAATATGCCACCCAGGTACAATTTTGAGTGTTTTGAATTCCCACAAGATTGAAGAAGTTTGTGATGTGGTAGTAGGAATGGGACTTCAGGTGTTAAGGTTAGTGAACTTGTATACTTACATTGACTTAAGAAGCATTACCTTTCTAAGTATAATTATTTTGGCTCATCAGGATAAATTTTAAGAATGCGGAAACGTATCTTTTTGTAACAAGAAGCATAGAGAAATCAAGAGAATTACTATGTACCATACACGTGCTTGATTCAAGTGATGGAAATGGTAGATGCTCAATAAGAAGGTGATTTACCTTTTACCTTAAAATAAACATGCATATTAAAAAGGTGTATGTATGTCTTTATGCAAAGTATTGATATTATCAATTGCTCTATAGATATGATTTATGAATATATTTTATTTTTTTATTTTCATTTCTTCCTGTTATAATAGACGCATTGTGGAAATTTAAATGGCAGTTTGGAGCAGGTCCAGGTTGAGTTGTTTGACAAACAAATATGTGGTGGTTCAAATGTGAGCATATATCAGTATGCAATGGTGCTCGTCTTTTGTAAAAATGGAAGTGGTAAGCTTCTCTCTAGTCATTTTACGCAGTTTTTTTCCCCTTATATTCTATTTTAATGAGAATGATAATGGTCATTTTTTTTTTGTCAGAGACCTTTTTTGAGATTAATTTACTGCTCTCTTATTATATAAAAGGTCTCTCAAAACTAGATGTGAAATGCTTTATTGCAAAAGATTATTTCTTCAGATGGTAGGAGGTTGGAATAATGTGTTAGACATTGGGTTGGATGATTTTGTGAATCCTCTTTTAATGAAAGTTTCCTTTCCATTTTATTTCAGTAATATTACTTCTTTGAAGGTTTCAGAAACAACCCTTTTTTTAATGTACAATTTTTTTTTTTTGGTAAAATGTCTTTAAACTGTGTTCTTTTATCAATTAATAGTTTGCAGATATTAAGTTATAATAGTCTTAAAACTTACAGAGGAATCATGGCTGTCGAGATCACTCTTTGTGATTGGAGGGTATGTGCTTTTATGCATTGAAGACGTTAAGCAGCTGTACTCATTTTCATCAGATGCGTTCGTGTCTCCATATTTCAGAATTGATTCATGTAGCTCCATTGCTGACATTACAGAGATGGTGAGTATATTTCTGGGGCGGAGTGACGTTGGAAATACCCGACAACTAGAAACAAACAAAACCAGTGGAATTTGAACTCCCGATGTCATCTCAAAATCTTCCTTGTAAGCAATGCATAATAAATCAATAACATGCAGTGGAAAATGCGAAGAACAAACTTTTTCCTGCGTAAATAATTTTCTAGAGTAAAATATATTTAGTCCCTATAAATATAACTAAATTTAGTTGTGATCCTCCGACATATATCTTTGATGCCACCTTAATACTTGTCACTGCTAAACAATGATAGAATTTTTTTCAAAAAAATTAAAATTTATGAAGATCAAAATGAACAAAAACAAAATTACAGAATTAAAACCAAATTAAATTATTTTTTTATATAATACAAACAGATTTAAGCCTGTAGCACTTGCTATATGGAACATTGGCTCTTCTTCTTACTCTTCCACATCCAGTTATTGACTCTTTGTTTTTGCTTGGTTTATTGTTTAATGTTATTCTTTCCAGATTATTGAGGTTGGTAGCAGCTGCTGTGTTGTCAATCACGAAAATACTACTCCTGGCTCTCTTAAATTGAAGCTTCGGTGGTTCTCCAAAAGTTACCTTGTGAAGTTTGTGTCGTTGTTGAAGGCAATCCATGAAAAAGAAACGGGGTCACCTTTGGTAGTAAGATGTACACCGTAAATAATTTTTGCTTTGTGTTAGTTCATATTAATTTCATTCATTTTGTTTTTAGTTTTCATATTCTTTTCATTTCAATTAGTTCGTTTGCTTGGTGTGTTGAGTTTGTAATAGTTTCCTTCCTTTTATTCTTTGATTCATGTCCACTCAGTGGTTGTTCTTTTTCTATGTATAGAATTGTATAGTATCACTAGACGTTATTATCCAATTTGTTTTGCTTCTTCCCTCCTCTGCGATTTCCTATGTAATAGTTGTTTCTTTTCTATATTTGAATGGGTATGACTAAAAACTGAAACTCTTGCCTGCAACTTTTTATTCTGTTTATCATTTGAAAATTATTTAGAAAACGCAACTTCTGTTTGCAAGTTTGAGTTGTATATCTTTTAATACTTTTGGGTCGGAGATGTAGGAAGGAAATGGAGCAATTGTTTATTTTTTTATCACGACATTTTTTCTTCCTACACATCCCACCACCACATGAAAAAAAAAAAAAAACTTTTTGAAATCTTTACATTTTAAAAAAATACAATCCAAAAACTACTGAAAATGTCTGAATTTAGTAAAGCAAAGATTTCAGAATGCATTATAGAATGTGCCATTTAGAATGAGTTTTTAATTATTTTGAATTGATCTTCTGAAATGTTTTATACAAGAATTTATCTTTATGAAAAAAATAATCGTGATGTATAAAATTGAAAACTTTCTGAAAAGCATTTATATTTGGTTTTGTGACTATACGTGTGCGTGTTTGACGTTTGTCCAAAAAATCGCATTACATATACTCTGTTGGTCCTCCTATGCTAATTGCAAACTATCCTCATGATAGAAACATGTAAAGGTAGAGAAAACTTGTTTAAAACTCTTGGTAGAGCATCTTCCTGTCGATGAAAACTCTTGGTTTTCTCTTATATGAAACGTGATGAAAAATCACTGACTAATGGATTTAAAAAAATTAGAAAACAATTTTAAGTTCGAAAAATAAAATAAAAAAATATTTATTTATATAAATATGTAGTTTTATTTATTTAATAAAATTAATATTATTTTAACTTTTCTTAAGTTTATACTTATTATTTTAAAAGCACATAGACCCAAAATCTTAAGATATGATCTAGCGTGGGTCTATTTGTTTTATTGGTTAATTGAACTTTCGAAGATTTGTCACTTTTAAGTTACAATTTTTATAGTTCGATTAAACTTATTTTACGGAGTATTTAAATGGTACACTGGATCAAACCTATGTAATGAGGTTTAAAAGAGTGACAAGACAATTGGGGCAATTATATTATGTAAAAAGCTGGGAGTGTGAACAGAGAGTGAGATGGAGAGAGAACATGGGGGGGGGGGGGAGGTGAACTTATATATACCAGAAGTTTATAAATTCAGTCATAGGCCCAGCCCAACAACATCCCAAATCTGACCTGTTTAGGGTTTCCGACCTCTTCCCATTCTATATAAAGCATAGATGGGTATTGGACGACATGAATACACTGTACTGTTCTTCACCCGCATGAGATTGTGTTTGTTATATGAATTGGTTGAAGCGTTCAATGCTGTTTGAATTTAACAGCGATATTATGATTTGTGTTGTGTAAAGGCAATTAGTTTGCGTCACTGATGCGCTTTGATTGATGAATAGCGTATTCAGCCCTTTACGTTGCCAAGAGTGATGATCGAGCACATATGCTTGCGTGTGCCGTTCTTCCATACGGTTCTTGCATTCAGATGCTCCCACATTTCTATTATTCTTTCAACATCTCTCCATTTTCATCATCTTATTTTGAAACAGTTCCTTGAAATTGTTTTCACCCTTCCCCTATTTCTGTTATGGCAATTGTAAGGTTTTCTCAAAGAATCACTTATTGCGAAACCTTTGTTTTACACTTCACTATCAAGAACATGGAAGAATTAAAAAACATTTTCGAAATTATGTAGGAGTTTGATGGAAGGAGATTTTCAATTGAGAGAACATTGTTGTGTTGTTGTGGATGATAAAAAATAAGGGTGCATGATTGAAATTATTTTGTTCTTTCTTTTTTCTCTTTTGATACCTACCGATCGCAATTGTATGTGCTTAATTATCCAATATATTATGTTTATAGTACATGTAATTAATACTAATTATTGTATGTATGCTATGGGTGCATACATTATTTTGAAACTATTGTTTATATTGAAACAGAAAAGTGAAAGAATTGAAATTATTCTTTTATCGTATTTGCATAAAAAAATCGCTTTCAAAATCCATATGTACTTATATAGTTAGATACCCACAATGTCTATCACCTGAACTTTGTAGCAAAAGTATTTAATGTTTTACAAAACACCCATTTTTTTTAAATTTTAAAATTTGAATAGCTGAACATGTAGCTGTAGGACTGTAAATGTGTTTTTCGCAACCCATTCTCATAAATTATTGTGGTTAACATTATGAACCAAATATACTTAATTAGATAATTTCTCTCTCCATTATGAACACTTTTTTTGTAAGTACTTATCTGGATTGGATCCAAATGCCATTTATAACATCAATCAGTTTTGTGATATTAATGACAGATCCTTACTGTTATTAGACCTCCTATAAGGTAATATGTGAAGTGATGATTCAATCGTAAGGAACATGGTCCTTTAAAATTTTTCTACTTGAAACTCTGATATTCAAAATTAGTAAAATGTTATCCCCCAACATGTGTTCAGAAAAACCTTGTTTTAAAAGGTATAATGAATCAAGCAATAGTGAGAAGTCATGGATATTGGAAACATAATTCTTAAAATTCTTATACCAACTTTCTTATCAATCTCTCTAAGAACAAAGTTAAAGGCCTTTTAAACCGTTTTTTTTTACCATGAGCAGATTGATGATATGATGACAGTAATATATCACGCTCGTTTTTATCAAACGTTAATGAACAAGCTTGGTTTAAACATACACGAATGATTCAGAAAGTGGTTTAAAATGTTCAGAAAGCTTCTTTATCAAAATACGAATATGGTAACTCTAAATATTCAGAAAGATATGTTTATGCAATAGAACGAAAAAGTAAGAACAAAAGGCACGCGATATTGGCGCGGCTCAATCAGACCACAGAATCAAGGGCAGGTGATTGAAACTATGATCAGTTTGAACCGTTCCAACACCTCGGGTTCGTGCCTAACTTTTTCCTATTCCTTCAGAGAGACTGAACTGAACAACAGTTGAATTTGTGCAGTGTAGTGGTAGTGCAGTGCAGTGATTCCTTCTTATATAGTTAGTATACAACCACCAGAGTTGGTTTTTTTTTGTTTAAGATGTAAAGATCAGTCCATTTTATTTTGGTCGGTTGAGAAGAACAAACACAATCCTCCAAACAAATGGCCACTCTACTGATCTCTCTAAGATTGCCGGCCAACTTCAACATAGCAGCATTTGCCGGCCTTTAAATTCTCTTAATATTTTCACCTTTTGCATCGGTATTTCCCTTCCCCTGCATCTCACATTTCTATTTTAACTTATTCAACTCTTTAGTTCAACTGCTACATTCAAAATTTAAATATAATTATAAAGCATAAAGCATTCAAGAGTTTAGGCAAATAAATTTTAATGTGACATGCACTTGACTGTAATTGTATTTATATGAAGTAAAGTTGTTTATTTTAACAATCAAAATAACTTTGTCATTTCAGTCTGTCATCCAGAAATTTTCAAATTTTTTCAAATCAAATTGAGATTATTTTAGAAACGCAACCAGGTTATTTTATAGAAAATTTGACTTGGATTAACATTAGCTTGTTTAATAATTATTTAATTATAACAAATAAGGATATTTTCTTATACCTCATTATTCTCTCTTCTTTTCTTTTCCTTCTAAAACAAGAAGAAATGAATAACTAAATACGATATTTTTTACCATTGTCTCTATCTTTCCTCTCTTTTCCACATTACCAAAGAAACATGCAATACTACATTTTTTATTGATTAATTACACTGACAACATGTAGAAATTAAAAAAGGTTTTCATTCAAACAAATTAAGATTCCAAAACAAGTTTGGTTAGTCTATGCATTTTAGTTAGACTTTTGTCTGTTACTGTTTCCCAAGAATCACTTTTACTTAAACAGGTGCACAGCACATCCTCTACAAGGAAACCAGATACTTGTTAGGGAAATGACTTGGTGCATGGTTGGTTTAAAGTTACGAAAAATATTTTTATGATTTCAACACAAAACTGTATGTTTCAATGCATGAATTGAGAAATAATGATTTTACTTTTAGTATAAAAATACTTTTAAACATGCACTTCCATTAACACTACACATTTAAGAAACATTTGATTATAATTTATTAAGAATCTTGTATGGATCTTATATGTGCCTATACTTATAAGTGATCATACTGACTCTTTTCGTGTCAAAGATGAATTAAATTTTGAGCCATCCTTGAAATTTGATGCGTTTTGTTTCGAGTTCATTATGTTGTTATATATATACCTCCTATCCTAGCTGATAAACATATGCATATGTTAACAATTAAAGCTTATGGTAAACAAACAATCAATGGATGTTAAAGTTGTCTCTAGTGCTGAGTGAAACAAATATATGTCATTTTATTCGGTACAACCAAAGAAAATTTATAGGAAAACCCAAAGAGAAACAGAAATGGAATGCACCCCTCCAAAGTTGCCGTCTGATGTTCAATTTGTTTCGGTTGTCTTCCCCATTATTCTCAAGTCACAACCTTACATTGCATTGCATTGATATGCTTTCATTTTCACCGTCACCTTTTGTCCGTATTTCATACCTTATAACCCTTATATTTAAACAATCACAGCTCAACTTTAGCGCTTTAAGGTCCCTTAATACCACCAAGAAAGAAGGCCAGAAGTGGTTGCTGAAGTTCACTGCAATGGCGAGGCCACAAAGGACAGGTAGAAATAAAAGCCTAGAGACTCTAATGGACTCGGACAACCCAGGAACCGGAAGAAATGTGAACCAACTGCGACCCCAGAAGTCCACTCCTGGCAATGGCCTTGAATTCAGTAATCTCTCGTATAGTATCATAAAGAAGCAGAAAAAGGATGGGGTTCGGATCAAGAAAGAAACATATCTTCTTCATGATATCTCTGGCCAGGCAATAAAAGGTGAAATAATGGCAATCATGGGGCCTAGTGGTGCGGGCAAGTCCACCTTTCTTGATGCATTGGCAGGGAGAATTGCTAAAGGGAGTCTAGAAGGATCAGTTAAACTTGATGGAAAACCAGTAAAAAGAACTCCTCTCGTTTCATTTTTTATTGATCAAAATCAGATATATGTTTTACTTTTCACCAAAAAAAGGGAGATATTTTATCTTTCTATTCTCTTTAACTAAATAGTGATATATTATGGTGCAGATTACTACAAGCTACATGAAAATGGTGTCATCATATGTGATGCAAGATGACCAGCTCTTTCCTATGTTGACAGTTTTTGAAACATTTATGTTTGCAGCTGAAGTCAGGCTTCCTCCTTCCATTTCCAGGGGTGAAAAGAAGAAGAGGGTTCATCAACTCCTTGACCAACTGGGCTTACAGGTATATATATAATCCTTTGTCTCTCTCACTTATTTACACACATAATTGGAAGGTTAATGACTTCATTTCCGTTCAGAGTGCTACACATACCTATATTGGTGACGAAGGAAGGAGAGGAGTGTCAGGAGGAGAACGACGAAGGGTATCTATTGGCATAGACATCATCCATAAGCCATCACTTCTGTTTCTAGACGAACCTACCTCAGGCCTTGATTCTACAAGTGCATACAGTGTTGTAGAAAAGGTTAAAGACATAGCTCGAGGAGGAAGCATTGTCCTTATGACCATACACCAGCCTTCATTTAGAATTCAAATGCTCCTAGACCAGATTACCGTCCTTGCAAGGTGATAATTTCAGAGCCTATATTTTCCTTTTGTAGATAAGACATATAATGTTTATCTCACTTTCCAAAAAGTCTAAAACACGAGGAGATATCTAGAGCTTTATTATATATACCTTCTGAAACTGATAGGAAGACCAAAAAAGACATTGAACACATAAATTTATAACAATATACGAAGTTAGAACTATGTGAGAAACTTACAGAAGACCATTCTGGGACTTCTGTCTAGCTGTTGAGATTGTAAGTAGAATGGAATCAAAACTTTACATGGATGAACTAGAATGATATATTCATAACATAACATGAAAATAAATAAATAAAATAAAAGATTATCCTGACCAGATCTGCTATTGTATTAACTTGTGTTGCAGGGGAAGATTGATTTACATAGGCAAGCCAGATGCAGTTCAGGCCCACATGTCCAGATTTGGAAGGCCAGTACCTGATGGAGAAAACGGTATTGAGTATCTTCTAGATGTTATAGGTGAATATGATCAAGCAACGGTTGGGCTTGATCCCCTAGTCCAATTCCAACGAGATGGCCAGAAACCTGACCCAGTAGCCATGACGCCTGTTCCAAAAACTCCAAGAACTCCTTTCAGAAGGAACACCCCTGCATCTAAACAAATTATTAGTCTACGCAGCCAAGGATTTACTGCTGGAACACAACAACCTGATTCTGCACAGTTTAGTTATCGAGTCGAAGATGACGATGATGAGATTTTTGATAACTCGCTTGAAAGGAAAAGTGTTGCAACACCAAGGAATATGACTAGTGGTGTTCACCCGCGTTTGGCTTCTCAGTTCTACAAAGATTTTTCAGCCAAAGATTTCTCTGTCTGGCTTTACCATGGTGTCAGAGGAACCCCGCGGCGCCAACCATCATGGACTCCCGCAAGAACGCCAGGATGGACACCTGGGAAAACACCCATGTCAGGACCAAGAAGCGCAGTTTCCTACCAATATTCTGCAGCTTTTCAAAATCCCTATCGCCCCAAAACTCCTGCAGTGAATGGCCAGTCTATGGACTACTCAGCAACTTCATATGCCCCTTCCATTGAAGCATTCGAGATTGAGGAAGCGCTTGATGAGCCAAACTTAGGATCCAAGTATGCAAACCCATGGTTGCGTGAGGTTGCAGTGCTCTCGTGGCGAACAGCACTAAATGTAATTCGCACGCCGGAACTCTTCCTCTCCCGTGAGATTGTGTTAACTGTTATGGCACTTATCCTGTCCAGCATTTTTGGAAATCTGAGTCACCATTCTTTCAAAGACATCAATAGGCTCCTCAATTTCTACATATTTGCAGTGTGCCTTGTTTTCTTTTCCTCCAATGATGCAGTCCCATCTTTTATCATGGAGAGATTCATCTTCATCAGGGAGACTTCCCATAACGCTTACCGTGCTTCTTCGTATGTCATTTCTTCCCTCATTGTTTACCTCCCATTTTTCGCGGTTCAAGGCCTCACATTTGCTGTCATAACCAAAGAGATTCTTCACTTGAATAGCAGTCTCTTGTATTTCTGGCTAATACTTTATGCCTCGCTTATTACTACCAATGCATATGTGATGCTTGTCAGTGCACTTGTGCCCAGTTACATCACAGGGTATGCAGTAGTCATAGCCACCACAGCACTATTCTTTTTGACTTGTGGTTTCTTCCTCAAGCAAACTCAAATACCCTTTTACTGGAGGTGGCTTCACTATATTTCTGCAATCAAATATCCATTTGAGGCATTGCTCACAAACGAATTCAAGAACCTTGACTGCTACACAGGAAACATAGCAGAATTATCCCCTGGACCATTAGGAGACTTGAAGCCCAGCAAACATCATAACAGCAGTCTGCCAGCTAACTGCTTATTAGGTGTAGATATCTTGTCCTCAATGGATATCAAAATGCAAAACATATGGTATGACATTTTAATCCTGCTAGCTTGGGGTGTTCTTTACAGGTTGTTCTTCTATTTGGTTTTAAGATTTTACTCCAAGAACGAGAGAAAATGAATCATTTACCACCCCTTTTGCATCGGATAACGTATTAGTATATATATGCCCCGGCCTGCTAAAAAAGCTGAAGGTCACAACAATTACGTGATTTCTTGTATCATTGAGATTATATAATAACATTCTGTTAAAGAAGAGTTTTCTGCTTCTGTTCCTAACAATTTGAAGAAACAAAAAACCATAGACCATGGGGGCATGCTTGCCAGAGCACCACCCTAAACCTTCATACTTTGCATCCTCCACTCGCATACAAGAACAATGCTTCGGAGGCCTTCACTTCAAAATGATAAGAGAGAGACTAACCCACCCACAACTCTTCAAGCAACCATCTGCATATTTGGATAGCACCTTAACACATCTTTTTTAACTATTTTTTAACATTTAATAACAGTTTTATAATATTTTCAAAAACTAAAAAAAAAATTGATAAAAAGTATTTAATTTTTTATTAATAATTAAACGACATAGTCTCTCTTCAATATAAAATTATCTCCATCAATATCTTCTTTTTCATCTAAAATAGTTTTCACATTAAAATTATCAAATAACTATTTTACAACTTATTTTTAAAAATAGATTTTCAAAAATCATCTCCGTCTTTCTCCTTATCATCCTTGACAGGAATTCTAACTTTCGGTTGATCCTTCTCACGTTCATAACTAATAATTAACACAATCCTCAAGAGGTTGAAAAAGAACAACTTCAAATTTATTGGTAAGAACCCAATATGATAGGAATTCCAAAACTCAAACTATTTTTAAGAATTGCAAGGAATCCAATTTCTTGAATGGAAATCGAACGTGAATCTTTATTGAGTAGTCACATGATTACAGGAATTGTTTTTTATTTTTTTTAAATCACCGCTCCTGAGTCCACATAACTTGCTATTATATTCGTTTTTTACTAACTTAACTAACAAACTACTTATTAGAACTCTTTGTAATTACAATTGAGTCTTAACCGTTCCTTCTATTTAAAATACTACATCAATTCCTCCCACTTAAGCAAATCCTTGTGCTGAAGGATTAAAATACGGAAACTTTTCTTAAGATTAAAAAAGAATTCCCATGTGGCCTCCTCTGGTAGTAGGTGGTTCCACTTGACCAGCACCTTAGTGATTGTTTGATTTCCCCTTTTGACTGTCATTCTGTCCAAGATAGCTTGAGGGTTCTTTGAATGCCATTTTGGTAGTCGGTGCTTCCACTTGACCAACACCTTAGTGATTGTTTGATTTCCCCTTTTGATTGACATTTTGTCCAAGATAGCTTCAGGGTTCTTTGAATGCCGCTTCTTCATCAATGATAGGACAATGGGAAGAAGTGGTTGCTTCACCTACAAATTTCTTGAGTTGGGACACATGAAAAACATAATGGATGAGTGAATGAGCAGGAAGTTGGATCTTATAGGTCACTGCACCAATCTTATCCACAATGAGATAAGATTCATAATGCTTAGGAGCTAGTTTGACATACAGAAACTTGCCTATATAAGGATGTAGCTTGACAAAGACCAAATCACCAATATCAAACGACTTTTCAAACATGTGTTTGTCAGCTAACTGTTTCATTCTCTCTTGAGCTCGTTCCATATGGAATTTGACTAGTTTAAGTTGTTCCTCCCTTTTCTGTAAACTCTTATCAACAAGTTCACTCTTAGACTCTCTAGGCAGATATGGTAAGTAAGCTGGTGGAACTTGACCATATACAATCTCATACAGGTTGGCTTTAATAGCACTGTGGTAGGTAGTATTGTACCATCATTCAACCAAAGGAAGCCACTTTGACCACTGATTGGGATCATCTGAACACATACATCTCAAGTATGTTTTAATGTATTTGTTCACTACTTCAATTTGACCATCTGCTTAAGGATGGTAGGTTATAGATAGCTAAACCTGAACTGCGTGGTAAGCCATGAACTCCTTCCAAAATTGGCTAACAAAAATAGGATCTTTGTCAAATGTGATGGAGGCTAGAAACCCATGTAATTTGAAGATGTTATCCATGAAGCATTAAGCCACATTCGCAACAGTGTATGAATGTTGCAAGGCCATGAAGTGAGCAACTTTGTTCAATCTATCAACTACACGAATATAACTTGTTTACCATAAGAATTAGGAAGTCCTTCTATAAAGTCCATGGTAATGTGTTGCCAAACTAGGTCAGGAACGGGTAATGGTTGAAGTGGACCAGGGGAAGCAACATTATCATATTTGCATTTCTGACATGTACATCTTTTAACCTTCTTAGTCATGCCATGCCCTTCCAATATACTATAGCCTTTACTCTTTACAACATTATCATATTTGTAAGGTCAAATTCCATTAACTTCACCAACCATTTTTGTTGGAAAGCTGTTGAGAGTCTTTGATCTAAGATGTACTTAAGGCTTCTATGATCAATCTTAATTACAAATTATTTGTGAAGCAAGTAATGCCTGCATTTTTGGACCGTAAACACCACAACGAGTAATTACTTCTCATATGCTGATAGGGGTTGTTGTTGTTGACTTAAACTTCTGTTGATGAAAGCTATGGGATGATGATCCTGCTTTAGCACTGCTCCCACTCTCAAACCTGTAACGTCAACCTCCACGACAAAAACTTTGGAGAAATCGGGTACAACCAAGATTGGTGCTTGACTCAATTTATCTTCGAGGAATTGAAAAGCAAGTTTTGCCTCTTGAGATCAATTGAAATTGTCTTTCTTCAACATATCATTGAGAAGCTTAGCTATGGTGCCATATCTGCTCACAAACCTTCTGTAATACCCTGCTAAGCTGAGAAAACCCCTCAACTACTTCAATGACTGAGGTAATGGTCATTGCCTCACTATTGCGACTTTTGTTGGATCTGTGGAGATTCCTTCACTGTTATAAAGTGTCCCAGGTATTCAACTCTACTAACACCAAAGTAACATTTAGACTTCTTGACATATAAAGCATTAGACCTCATAACATATAAGACCTGACGCAGATGAGTCAAGTGATCTTTCATGCTTCTACTGTAGATCAGAATATCATCAAAAAATATCAAAAGAAATTTCCTCAAAAGTTCTTTAAACACGGTGTTTATCAATCATTGAAATGTTGCAAGGGCATTAGTTAAACCAAATGGTATGACTAATACTCATAGTGTCTTGCATGTGTTTTGAAAGTAATTTTATAAACATCCTCTTTCAAAGGTCATCAAATGACTCCAACAACTCTTCAATGTTGCTAGGAATCAAGGTCTATTCTACATGAGTAGACAATGAATTAAACAACACATCACCCTTCCCATGAACCCCCGACAATAAAGTTTTATGGAACTGTTGCTTCTTAATGGTCTTGAGTCCAGTAAGCACCTGTCTCTTACCATTCACAGAAAACTCCATTGTTAATTTGTCAAAATTCCAGGTTATATCACTTAGAGTCACCAGCCACTTAATACCAAGTACCATGTCACAACAGCATATCAGACCGAAAAGAAGTATTCTCCAGATACCAAGTAAAAGCCTTAACAATAGAAGAAACCTAAACTTTAGTTCCATCAGCTGCAGTCACATTCAATGGATCCATCTTATCTATTTTGTAGTCTAACTTCCTAGCTAAATACACATTTAGGAAGTTATGAGTACTCCCACTATCAATCTGCCCTCACCAGCACATTGATCTACTTCAGAATCTAATCCTTCATTCAATTCCATGACATGAATTTGCAATTTCTTGTGTGTGTCAAACTATGCGCTGGAGTGAAAGGCACGCTAGAAAAATAACACAACCCTTTGCTCCTCCTTTCACTCATATAGGCTGGTGTTAATTTTTTTGTGAGTTGTGTATTAGGCTTAGAATTGTTAACCTGCTTGGATGATATTGATAACAATGGGGTTTTGAATATTGGATTGAGTTTCATCTATTTGGAAAATGACTTATGTGGAAAAGAGTTAGTGCTTGCAGACTCATACATTTTGGCTAAAGAGAAGGCCTTCATGACTGTGGTTGGTAAAACATCGGCACCATCATCTGAACATCATGTTTCATACCCCTCTGAGGAAATAACTAAGCTGTTGTGATTGAGACAATTCAACTCTTGATACAATTGCATCCAATTCTTCAAAATATTTGGTGATAGAACCTTTTTGTCTAAGTTGCATCAACTCAACCATGGGATTATCACAAATTTCACCAAAACGATCCAACAAAATATATGTATAGTCTTCCCACAAAGGTAAGTTGTTCAAGGCTATAGTTTTGAGATATGCACTATGCCACTGAAGTGTTTTTCTTTCAAAATGCACCATCGCAAGTCTAACCTTATTATCATTAGGTGTTTGATCAATGGAGAAAAAGGTTTCACATTGAATTATACCATTCTTGACACCTTCACCATTAAACCTAGGGAAATCCAAACGAGCCAATCACATATTACAAGAATAGGGCCTAACATTGTTACCCTAATCTCCAACACATTGGTTTTCATATCACTAAAATATTTCTTGAAGTTGTTGATGTAGAAAAGTGCCTAGTGTCATGAATTTTTCTTCCATCTTCAAGCTAAGACGCTCTTCAACTTCTCGAAGGTGAACTTGATTTCTTGTATTATCAGACATGGCAGAATCGTGGCTAGAAGGTTACTTCTAATACCGAGATTAATAGAACTCTCGTAGAACTTCAAGAATTGCAAGGAATCCAAGGTCTTGAATGAAAACCGAACATGAATCTTTATTTAGTCACAGAATTACAGGAATTGTTTTTACAAAAAAAATCACCACTCCTAAGTCCACATAACTTGCTATTATATTCATTTTTTACTAACTGTCTAATAAACTACTTATTACAACTCTTTGTAATTACAATTCAGTCCTAATAGTTTCTTCTATTTAAAGTACTACATCATAATCTGTTGTACTTCCGTCTCGCCATTACATTAATCACAAGCCTAAAATCAGCTTGAAAATTTGAAACTTATTCCAAATTAAAATATCAACATTTACTACATGCAATCAGACAGAGGGAACGTCAAGCCATTGTACATTGGAACTAAATTAATATTTGCCTTCGAATTACACTATGGACATGTAAACTGAAAAAACAGGGAAATGTTAATTGTATCAGGCTCTATATAAAGCATTCACTTAAAGAGGGCCAGCATGTTGTGCAATCTTTCTTTCGAGTGTACTTTTGTCTGCCCCCACCACACTATCAATCTCTTTGCCATTCTTAACAAAGAAAAATGTGGGAACACTGCTAATATTCCAGCTTGCAGCAACATCTCTGGCCTCATCGATGTCAATTTTCAAAAAAACAACTTTTGGGTACTTTTCAGCCAAGCTTGTATAAATAGGGGAAATGAAGCGACAAGGGCCACACCATGTTGCAGTAAAGTACAGGATCGCCAATCGTGATGTCTTTGATGCAGCACTTAACTTCTTTTCCAATTCACCAGTAGAGTGAATACCAATCACTTGCCCTTTAGAATGCCACAAATTTATTAGATCATTAAATTAAATATAAAGGGAAGGAAAGTAAAGATAAATTGCAACATTAGTTTTTTTTTAGGAATAAAAAATGAAATATCACAATCAGCTAACAAATGGCACGACATGCGAATGAGTTAGGCCCAATTTGCAAAGTAGTCTTCAATGATACAACCAAGAATGGTTTGACCCATAACAAAATTCAAGGCAATATCTATGAGTTTCCCATCAAACTTCTAAGCCAATAATGCAGCTGAGCAATTATGACAAGAATATGCGTACTAAAACTTTTACCACAGCCACATGAAAAGTATGATGCGGGAACAGAATCAGACAACGAAATATTGTGTACTAGTTTTCACATTAACTAAGAGATAAGGAAGTGAACAGATTTTTTTTTTTTAATTTTATTACCATCACGCAGACGAGAAATACAAAGACTTACCATCTTTTAAAGCAGATAATGCTTCTTGAACCTGAAAAAAAAAAAGTCAATATAGAAAAACTTAGCCATATCTATCTCATAGCATAGTTATTAAGGTGCATACAGAGAGCGGACAACTTCCCGTCACAACATATGCATTCCAATCAAGGAGGAAGGAGAGTGTAATAGGAAAACTATAGTAGAATTATGAATTCCTAGGAAATGAGGGATTCTCATATGCTATATCGCAATGTTATCACAAACAGTAGCCTACAGAAACTAAATCCATTTTAGCCTTGGATGATCACAATTTACCAATACAATACTTGATCATAACAAAAATACATAATTAAATATAAGATAGCCAAAATCAAGATTTTACTTGACATCAGTAAAGAGGAGCTAAGATTGCATAACATAGGGTTTATATAAGAGTTTGTAAGTCCCTAAAATACATGTCTATACAAAGAACAGCTAAAATTTGCCACTTAGTCTTGAGACCAAATCAATTCCTAATCCTTATATTATTAGTCTTCATTACGTGGGTTACAAATCACAATCAAGTTATTTTTTAGTATTTGTGTCTGGTTGTCTACTCTACGATCATAATGGAAACTTGTTATATATAGGGGAACCTATATTATTAGCATGTTCGGCAGGAATTTACTTATCGTTATATCTCAAGGGACTCTATCTCCAGTCTCTACAAGCTATGGGATATAACAATGAACAACTTACTCTTTGGAGGCAGGGGTCAGCCGTTCGACATTGGTGTTGTGCTGGTAACCGCAAGTAATATAACTTATCCAAGTCAGATGCACTCCATTTTTTATTTACATTTTAACTACTTTCCTAATGTTTGTTTGGGAAATCTTACTACACAATTTATGATGTGTGTCATACTGACACCTTAGATAGAATTCTTCTTAGAAAATCAGAATAAAAGGTCATGAAGTAACTCAACTAATTAGGAGAGGAAAGACCTCAGGCGAATGTTTGACTTAAGCATACCTACAAATCTCTTGCAACAACAAAAGGAAAACACTAAGAAACTACTTCAGCATGCCACTGGAAGATATTCTTCATTCAACACTAAGAAACTACTTCAGCACAACACTTCCATGACTTCCTCATAAAACAAGCATCCCAAATGATTTACAGCTTCTGAAAAGATTTTTTACTACTCTAGTTTCTAAGGATAGTTTAAATATGGAATTCTTCTATTCTGTTTGTTCTCCTATGCGCTTCCAAACTAAGTCAAAGTAGAATTCTATAGTTAAGATGAATGCAATAATAAGATATTAGCTTCCATTGAACAGTTTTTACATGTAAATATTATCGACCTAACAACATGTGATGGTGTAAAAAATTGGAATAGTTTGCACTTGTGAACTTCAAAATGCGTTATTCTGTCATTTCAACTGTAATGTAATATATCACCAAATGTTTAGTGCAACTGGAAAGATGTCTCACCTATTAGAGAATATTTTTCCTTTTTTTTTTCAAATTATATAAATCGTTGTGGATAATTGAAATTGTAAGAGAAAAAAGTTGTTTTTTAATTGCTAATGAGATAATGTGATAGAGAACGACTCACCCAAAGAGGCATACTTAGTGCCTTGCAAGGTCGTAGAGCTAGTCAACCAGAGTAAGATCCAATTCCTACATTGATCTTAATTGCAAATTTCTAAATTCTGCCCGGTTTGTGAAAAGAGAAGGATATTTACATTATAGTGGAAAAGTGCAACTAATCCATTTTTGTCCATATATTGGTGGTAGATAATATTTACAAACATTAGAAAGATTTAAACAATTAATAATAACAAATTAACAGTTAGTTTCTGTTCTTTAGTAGTAGCTTGAAGTAGAAGATAATACTCTCAACATTATCTTTCAAATAACATTTGTCAAAATCAATTGTCAACTTATTCATATTATAAAATATGAAGATTCCAATGGAAGGAACTTGAAATTTGTTATATACAAGAACTTGAAAATGAAAATAAACATTAAATTCACTAATTTTCTGAACAAAAATATGTCAATTACAAGAAGGACAACTAAACAACATACTAATCTAGCAAAAAAGTAATGGTTCATTTGTATTTTAAGTTTACTGACAAATTACCTTTGTCAAAACACATTCAATTGTGTGAATGTAATTTCTATATCAAGTTCAATTTTTATTGCATGAAAATATCTCAGACAACTGTATCATGATTAAAAATTTTATTTAATGACATCAAATAACAGTGATAAACAATCTTTTTCTTTTTCTGGATAGGCAAATGTTAGTTGTTAATATGTTATTATTTGTTAGCATAGGTTCAAACCCATAACCTATCTCGCCCTTTTCCACAAAATCAACCATATATCCTTGTGGGAAATCAAATAGTATTTTAGGAAAGAATAAATTAGAAAATTTGTAATCTGTACAGATTTGAACAATTAGGAACAATCCCATAATTCAAGGAATCCTAAAATAAAATAGAGTTATTATATTTCCTAAAATAGCTTAGGTCTCCTTTATACATCTTGTATGATCTCTTTGTATTGAAATAATAAAATCAGATTTCATTTAATCTAATTTTCCAGAATCCCCATGATAAGTTGTGCTTATAATACTATATTTGCGCTTATTATAAATCTTTGAGTGGCTTCACACAATTTATCCTTATTATTTATGGAGTTTAGTCAAAATTTTAAATATGATACCTTTGTCTAAGATATTACTTTTTCTATGGGAATCGAGTTTGATCCTAAAACTAGATGCACACAATTGAATGTATTTTAATAGAGGTAGCTTGTCTGTAAAGATATGAAATAGATAAAACCATTACCCTTTTAACAGATTAGATATGCAGTCTAGTTGTCTTTTAATTGTGTCTATCATAAATACAAGTATTAAGAAAAGTCAATTCCAAGTTATTTTATGTAACAAATTCAGGTTATTATCATTGAAATTTTCATGTTTCATATTTCGAATAACTAATCTGTTTCAGTCAAAGGTTATTCGAAAATTAATCTTGAGATTGATGATCTTTTACTCCAACTATAGCTAAAGAAAAAAAGTTGTTAATTGGTTAGTTATTTTGTAAATTCATCCATTACAACATCTAATAGTTATCCACCTAACCTATACAATAAAACATGATCTGCTTTACACTCTTAAATAGAAAAATATAATAATTAATAATTTCCACCGTATTATAAGATTTATTTCCACATCACCAATGGTAGAGGGACTTTAATTCAAACTCACTTAAGTATCAAAGGGATGGAGGAGTTACTACGTACAAAAAGTATTACAAACAATAGTTATGATCATTTGATGGATATAGCAGCAGTAGGACTTCATACCAATAGGATAAGGCACGTTTGAAAGCAAGGCAAACAACCTTTGCCTTTTGAACTACAACTTGGAATCCTTCATCAAGCTCTTTGGGCATGAGTTTCTCAATCACAGCTTCCTACTTATCTCAATGGCAGACAGCAATTCAAGAACAACTTTCTCTACGACTCCACAACAATTTAGTTAAGAGAGTAAAGAGAATGAAAAGAAGATTTCTAATTTTGTGGGATTCTTACTCCACTCTATGATCTCATATATATATATATAGGATTACAACATTTAAAACAACAACCACTAACTACTAACAACCACCAACCACCAACCACCAACTACTAACCACTAACCACTAACCACTAACTAATAATAATTCTAACACTCCCCCTCAAGCTGGAGCATACAAATTGTATGTACCAAGCTTGGAACAAATAAATTCAATTCGAGGTCCTCTTAAAAGACTTTGTCAACAAATCTGCAAGTTGATCATTGGACCCGACAAATTCAGTGCAAATTTCTTTAGACAACAATTTTTCACGAATAAAATGACAATCAAGTTCTATATGTTTGGTCCTTTCATGGAACACCGGATTAGAGGCAATGTGGAGAGCTGCTTGATTGTCACAATACATCTTCATCTGTTGGATCTCACAAAATTTCAGTTCTTGAAGGAATTGTTTCACCCACACTAGTTCACAAGTGAGAGATGCCATTGCTCTATATTCAGCTTCAGCACTAGACCGGACCACTACATTTTGTTTCTTACTTTTCCAAGAAATAATATTGCCTCCAATGAGAACACAATATCCTGTAGTGGAGCGTCTATCCATAGGGGATCCAACCCAATCAGCATCACAATACCCGGATATTTGGGTACCCCCTTTATCTTCATACAACGAGACCTTGTCCCGGAGTTTTTTTGAGATATTTTAGGATGTGAACGACGACATTCCAATGATCGATACGCGGATTTTGCATAAATTGACTCACAACTCCAACGGCAAAAGATAGGTCGAGTCCGGTAATGGTGAGATAAATGAGTTTCCCAACAAGTCTTCTATATCTCTCGGGATCGGAGAGCGGTTCACCTTGATCCGCCATTAATTTCCGATTTGGATCCATAGAGGTCATTTCTCGGTCTACAATCAATCATGCCTGTTTCTTTCAAGATATCTAAAGCATACTTTCTTTGGGAGACTACGATGCCTTCTTTTGATTGAGCCACTTCAATCCCTAGAAAGTATTTGAGACAACCAAGATCCTTAGTTTGGAAGTGATTGCATAAATGTTTCTTTAGCAAAGAAATTTTATCAACATCATTCCCTGTAATGACTATATCATCTACATATACAATTAAATAAACACATTTTCCTGAAGCAATATAATAAAAAACAGAATGATCTGCTTCACTTCGTTTTAATCCAAAACTTTGAACAATGTGACTAAACTTTCCAAACCAAGCACGTGGAGATTGTTTGAGACCATAGAGAGAACGATGTAACTTACAAACCAAACTAGACTCCCCCGAGCAACAAAACCAGGAGGTTGCTCCATATAAATTTCCTCCTCAAGATCACCATGCAAGAACGCATTCTTGATATCTAACCGATGAAGAGGCCAATGACGGATAGCTGCCATAGCAAAGAAAAGTCGAACAGTAGTCATTTTGGCCACGGGAGAAAAAGTATCACCGTAGTCAAGGCCATAGATCCGAGTATAGCCTTTTGCTACTAATCTAGCTTTGAGTCGATCAACTTCACCTTTTGGTCCAACTTTAATGGCATAGACCCAACGACAATCAACGAGTCTTCTTCCCATGTGGAAGAGGAATTAAGTTCCATGTACCATTGTGCTCAAGAGCCCGCATTTCATCAATCATGGCTTGTCGCCATCCAGGATGATCAAGTGCCTCTTTTACATTCTTTGGAATAGTAATAGTGGATACGGAAGAAACAAAAGAAAAATAGGAAGGAGACAATCTATGGTAGCTAAGAAAATTGTAAATGGGATATGGATTACGAGTAGAGCGAGTACCTTTGCGAATGGCAATGGGCCAACTTGAGTCACCATTATCGGGAATCGTGGTATCGGGGGATGATTGAGAAGGATCTCGCTGAGGAAGACTCATCTTGGGACATGGGACTGATCATTTGGCTCCTGTGTTGATAGGTAATAAGAGGCGGTGATGAGGATTCGGTGTATTTTGTGTGAAATTTTGGGTGTCGGGAGGAGGTACAAATGACTCCACTAAGGGTATAGGTAGGACATTTTGGACTGAACTAATATCCTACATAGAAGAAGGGAAGAAGGGAGTTGACTCAAAAAAAGTGACATTAGCAGACATGTAGTACCTCTTGGTTTTAGGAGAATAACATCGATATCCTTTTTGAAGACGAGAATATCCCAAGAAGACACATTTGATGGCTCTAGCTGATAGTTTATCTAAACACTGGAGACATATCATGAACAAAACATACACAACCAAATACACGAGGAGAAACATGAAAGAGTGGGTCCTTTGGCAATAGAATAGAGTGTGGAACTTTATTGTTAAGAGAAGAAGATGGCATTCTGTTAATGAGAAAACATGCAGTAAGAATAGCATCTCCCCAATGATGAACGGGCATATTTCCACCAAGTAATAAGGTACGAGCAGTTTCAACCAAATGTCTATTTTTTCGTTCTGTTATACCATTTTGTTGTGGTGTGTGAGGACAAGTAGACTGGTGTAAAATGCCTTGGGAGCTTAAGAGAGTGGAGAAATCGAGTAGAAAAGTATTCTTTAGCATTATCACTTCGTAAAACTTTGATTACTTTTCCAAATTGATTTTTGATTTCGTTAAGGAAAGACTTAAAGATAGGTAATAATTCGGAACGGTCTTTCATTAGATAAATCCAAGTACACCTAGAAAACTCATCAATGAAGGTAACAAAATATCTATAGCCAAAGGATGAGACACGACTAGGACCCCAAATATCGGAATGAACAAGAGAAAAGACAGAGTCACATCTAGATTCGAACGTTTAGGAAAAAAGGACCTAGTATGTTTCCCTAGTTGATATGATTCACATTCAAAATCTTGAAGAGTCCGAAGTTCGGGAACCATTTTTTTTAATCTTGATAAGTGAGGGTGCCCTAACCGTTCGTGTAATAGTTTTGGAGACAAGGATGCAACACAAGATACGGATGATTTAGTCCCAAGGTAGTATAAGCCTCCGGATTCATGTCCTTCGCCAATCTGTCGACCCGTACCACGTTCCTATATAACAAAAGAGTTGGCATTAAAGGTTACTCGAACAATTCAATAATTTGGTTAATTGACTTAGAGAAATGAGACTGAAGGGACATGAAGGAACAAAAAGAACAGATTTTAAGTTTAAAGACGGAGAAATGGAGACTTGACCAGTTCCTTTAGAGGCTACTTTAGATCCGTTGGCTAAGGTTATGAGATGAGGAGTTTTAGGAAATGAGAGAGAAGAGAACAAAGAGGCATTACCGGACATGTGATTAGAAGCACCTGAGTCAATAATCCATGGATTTTGACTTTCCACAGATTGTGAAATGCAAGTCTGTTGATGAATTTGGGGTTGTTGATGAGCTGTGCTAGATTACTGGATTTCAACCTCAAATATTCCCGATATTCTTCGTGAGAGAACTTGGGTTCAACCATTCCAGATTTGGAAAAATTGACAGCTTTATTAGGAAAACCGTGCAAAGAGTAGCAATTTTCCACTGTATGACCCATTCTCTTGCAATGAGTGCACCGAGGACGTCCTCTACCTCCACGTCCTCCTCTAGTGTCGCGACTTCCTCTTCCACGGGTAGAAATCATAGCGAGAAGATTCAACAAGTTCTTGATTATTTTTTCCTTTGAGAGTTGGAACACGAAGCGAGTCTTGTAGTCAAACTTTCCATAGAAGGAACTTCTTGTCCAGTTAAAATTTGATCTCTAACATGATCAAATTCCGAATTCATAGCTCGGAGAGTCATAACCATATAGAATTTATCCAACTTTTGTTTTATCTCCTCTAACGAATCCACCTCTAGGAACATCTTTAATTCTTCAACTGTCGATTGAGCTTCAGCAATAAAGGTCATCATATCTTTATCCACTTGCTTGAGAGAGGCTAATCGATTAGCGGAATCATAGAGGCGTTGGATATCATTTGCGAAGATATTCTGAGCTTTTTTCCGAAAAGAGTTACATGTTTTGAAGGATCCGAGAGTGTTCAAAATATTTGGTTCTACCGATTGCCACGGTAGAGCACGAGTTGATAATCAAGCTTTTTCCATTGTTGAGCTCGATCTTCGATATCTTACTTCAGTCTTCTTCTAGATGATCGTGAAACCCTTGTCCAAGGAACCAAAGTTCCATCGAAGAGGACCAAGACATGTAATTTTTTCCATTTAATTTCTCAGCCAGTTATCGTGGGAGTTCGGAAATGGAGGTTGTGGGCCCCGACGACATGTTTTAAATAATGTAGATGTAAGATGGAGACAATGGAACCGGTAAGAAAGAGAACACCCAAGATAGCCTGAAGGTTACTGGAAGGTGGTCAGAAAAGTCGTCGAACGGCAGAAAAAAAGGTGACTGGACGGGGGACTGACGGTTGCCGAAAAGTGACCGGAAAATGGTCGGACGGTGGCCGAAAAATGGTCGGACGGTGACCGGAAAATGGTCGGACGGTGACCGGAAAATGGCTGGACGGTGGCCGGAAAATGACCGGGACGGTGGCCGGAAAATGGTCGGACGGTGGCCGGACAGGCAGAGCAGGACCAACCTGCTCTGATACCAAGTTAAGAGAGTAAAGAGAATGAAAAGAAGATTTCTAATTTTGTGGGATTCTTACTCCACTCTATGATCTCATATATATATATAGGATTACAACATTTAAAACAATAACCACTAACTACTAACAACCACCAACCACCAACCACCAACTACTAACCACTAACCACTAACCACTAACCACTAACTAATAATAATTCTAACAAATTTCAAAACAAGGCAAAGGATTTTCTACTATGCAAGGCAGCAAGTGCTACTAGGTGTTAAGTTGGTTAAGTTGAAGAATAAAAGAGGGTCACTTGTCCTGCTTTCAAACTTACTTGTCATATTCTATTAGGTTAAAACTTTATCACTGTTATATCTAACAAATAATCACTTATTACTGTCCATAGTATTTTTTATACGTAGTATCTCTGCCATCCCTTTGTTACACAGGTCAGATTCAATCAAATTCCATTATACCAGTGGTAATTTATAAATAAATCTCACATTTCGGTGAGAATGTGAGAAGTACAAATCAATGTATTTTGCAGTTAACAGGTGCAAACTAGATCAATTTTGTTCCGTATGTTTTGGGTGGATAATATATTAGACGATATTCAGAATTAATAACTAAGGAATTAACAAATGGTATTTTGTCCTAATCTAAAGGTGCAAGTGGAAGATAATTAATAATCAATGATAGGATCATCTTTCAGATAATTTTTTCTAAAGAATTGTCAACTTATCCATATTACAAATTTACAATGATTTTTTTTAACACTTACAACAAAAAAAGGACAACTAGGCAACATAACTGATCTAGTGAAAAGTTCATTTGTATCTTATGTTTACTAACAAGTGACCTCTGTCAAAACACATTTTGAATTGTGCACACTGGATAATGTTCAATTCACACTGCAAGAAAAATATCTTGTATTATATCTAAAATTTTGATTTAACTCTATCAAATAAAGATAAATTGTGTAGGTCATTTGAAGTTTTACAATTACAAAAAGAGTATTATAAGATTGATTTATAATTGTTATTTTTCTTGCAATGATAATTGAGCTCACTCAAAGAAATTGGATGCACACTAACTTGTCATTGCTGTCCTTAAATTATATCTAACATATTTGCGTGTTGAGAAATTTTATGTAGTTTTTTATTATATTTTGCAAGTTCTTCAGGTAAAAAATTCTAGGTTACTATCTGAATTTCTTTTATTTTGCAAGTCGCTCTTCCACTAAGGCACCACTTTTTGTTTAGTTTTCTAGTGGAGGGATGGCACTGTGCAACTTCCAGCTGGGAATAGTGCGTTAAAGAGAAAGGGGTATTAGACAAAGACTAATTTGAAAGGATATGGCAAACGGGTACTAGCTGATCGGAAAAAGAGAAAGTGACAGGTTTTTTTTCCTATCATTTGCTTTTTTTGTCAGAGTGGTGTGGCGTCTGCACTCCAAATTCAGCGAATCGCCACCCTAGATAGACATACAATTGGGGAGGGATTTTCTTATATAATCATATATTATACTGTTAAATATAAAAAAATCTAATTCTAATAACAGAGACAAATATATAATAATAATAATAATAATAATAATAATAATAAAAAAAAAAATATAAAGAAAACATATATTAATAAAATGTGATAATTAATACAATAATAAGAAATACATATTATTAGTAAAAAGAATATAAAAATATTATTAAAGAAATATATATTTAATATAACAAAAATTATACATAATAGGAATTATTATACAAAAAATATAAATTATTATAAAACCCAAATATATATATATATATAGTATATAATATGTAATCATAACTCAGATCATAAGATCCTACAAAATTTACATACCATACATACATGTATATTTTATATATATATATATATATATATATATATATATATATCCCTACACACACAAGCGCTGACAAAAACCAAAAAGAGAACAGAACCAGGGATCGGCAGCTTGCACGGTACGTGTACGTGTACAAGAAAATAAGAGAAGTGGAGTACCAGCAACAAAGATAAGAAGATTAAGATTAACAAAGGAAGAGAATCACACAAAGCAGTCATCTCGTAGATAAAAGAAGTGGTTGAAGAATGGGTAAGATTTGGGACACTTAATGGTTTTCAACCAGTAAGCATACAGGTGACTGGATATAAACTGAAATTTAGGAATACTTTTTCAAGGCTTGGTGGAATTGTGCCTCATTTAATCCTCCAATTCCACAATCTTACATAACAGTTTCACACAATCTTACTAAAGTTTGATTCTTCGTGGAGATACTCATGATCATAAAGTTGAACAATCTCATGCGAAAGATCATGATTTTGACTACTGTCATTACATATATTTCCATAAACCGGACCAAATATGTTCTTCCTTCCTCCTATGAACATTTAACAAAAATTTTCCCACAACCCATCACAAAAGGCATCATCAGCCCTACTCAAAAGCAGTCTTGACTCTATATCATTGTTTACTATTCTTAACTATAGCTTTAAGGACACGATAGGAAAAGATGGAATTATAGGTAATTTTTTTACCTATACAAAGTATTGGAGTCGTATCTCAAACATGTCAGTAAATAAAATTTTATAAGAATGGAGAATACTGCTTGGATAAGCACCAATCAAAGAGCATCCTATGTGTATTCTATCAGATACCAGTATGATCTTGATATCATTTTCAAATTTGCAATATCGTGCAAACCCTAACTACCAAAAAGATTGTTCAATCACTGAAACTATACACCATACTTACTTGGGCTTCAGTTTCTTGCTCCTTCTTAATAGGTGCTTCAGTCTTAATAGGATCTCCTTTCTGTTGCTTTTGTTTTCTTAAGCGATCATACTTTCTCCTATGCTCCTCAATTTTGTGGGCATTAGGTTCAACCTTTCCAGCCAAAAGATACAATTACAAAAACAACAAGGATTCCTTCAGCAGGTTCCATCTGTCGAGAGTAGGCAAATTACCTTTTTAAGTGCCGAACTAATCTCTTCATCATAATCTAACTTTGAAGCCACATGAAGGTCACTTGCTGCTTCTTCCCATAGTCCCAACATAGCCCTAGACATTCCTCGTACTTTGTATCCTTTGGCTGAGTCGGGATTAATCTGGAACAACCAATACACCTCTGAGTACACAAACTCATGGCACAGAAATATCTTTTATACCATTTTTTTTAGGTGACAAGAAATAAAGTAAACCTTCAAGGCAGTGTCGGCATCACGTATAGCAGCATTTGGTTTCTTCAATTTCATAAAGACACTAGCTGAAAACAAGCAATTGAGACTTCCAAATGATAGAGAAGGTAAAACGAACAATAAACTGTGACGTGGGAAGAAAAAAATATTGAAAGGTATTCATCAAAAGGCATTTGATTCTGGTAGGAATACAGAGTGCGAATGCGTACCTCTAGTAGCATAAAGTATAGCTGATTGCGGATTCAACAAAATGGCTTCGGTCAGTTGGTCCAGTGCTTCATCCAAATTACCTGAAAAAATCATTAAAAAAACTGAATTGACAAACTAAAAGAATTTTCAAGACGCTTAAGTTGAGAGATTGTTTTTAAGACAAAAAAGAGAGACTAGGCTTTAAGTAATCATGAATTGAATTGCCTTGTGAAATAGCGTCGACTGCTTTTGATTTTGCTAGTTGAGCAGCATCCCTCTGTTCTTCCGTCACTTCAAGAGAAGGATCTCCCATCTGCAATTGCAATACAATTTCAATTACAGAGTTGTTGAGCTGTGGAGAGCATTGAAATGACTCTATACGCACAAACAATACACAAGATAGGATACCTTTTGAGGAGGGTCATTATCGGGTTCAACAACATCAGCATTATCCAACTCTACATCAGATTCTACAATCTCATCTTGAGAAGATAAAGGAGGGTCTGGCTTCTTCTCATCAAAATGACCTGGTTCCTGCATGCGGTGAGTGAGTCATGAAAACCGGAGATTCCAAGATTGATTTGCAGTCATGGAACCAAGAAGAAGAAAGAAACGCGGAAATGAGAAAATAATGAAATCACCGTTTTTGGTTGGGGAGGGATGCGAGCACCGAGGCTGAAGCAGAGAGAAAGGAAGAAGAGTGAGTGAGTGAGTGAGTGAGAATTGGGGAAAGAGATGAAAGTGGAAGAAAGCAAAACCTGAGAAGATAAGCCTTGAAGAATGAAAGGGATGGGTTGTGGAGGAGTGAGGGATTGGATTTGCATGTCTCTATGAATTGCTTCAGCTCTCTCAGTTTCCCTTCCTCCATCTTCCGCCGATCAAACACCGCTCTCTTCAATATAGGGTTCCAATCACCTTTTTCAACTCCAACGCAACTCCTACTTCACTCTATTTATAATTAACGAATCCTTCCAAATTTGTCTTTTTATTATTATATTAAACAAACAAAACTTTCAATATCCACATTTTTTTTAATTACGGATTAATAATCAATAATTACACTTTTTTTTTACTAATTTGCATTAAAAATATGTGTATATAATATAAGTTATATGCATAATGCAGATGCATAACATTAATTAGACATTATTCATATTAATCAATGATATAATAGTGAACAGCTTGAGTATATAGAAAGGTGTGTATTTGAGAGAATTGAATAGCAATCAAGTTTAATTGTGACTTTTGAATTTGAACAACAAAATTAGTTTCATTTTGATTAGATAATTTTTATTTTTATTTTCAAAGTTAAACTGAACTTCACCATGGAAAGCAGTTCTTTTACATAAAGCGTGTCTGAAAAAGTTGTCTTCTTGCGGTCAACATTTACAAACACAAAACAAATAAATAAAAAAACAAATTTTGATTAGATAATATTTTATTAAATTTGTTTTTCATGTATGAATTTGTCCCTCCCATCCAAAGAATCTTTGAGACAATGACTTTTTTTCGTGATTTTCGGATAAACTCATTATTAGGATAGCATTATATTAAGAAAATCTCACCATTTTATTATAATTAATTATTATTATTTATTTCATTTTTCTATATACTACCAATAATTCACCATCTAAATTAATTTCACCATTATTATTTTAAATATATTCCTTTTACCTTTCAAAATTTGATTGTAATTTTTGCTATGACTTAATTTTAATTAATTATTGATCTTTTATTTATATTAAGATAGTTAAATAATATATTATTTTTTAATCTGTTATTTATATTAAAATAGTTAAATAATATATTATTAATAAATAAAAAATAAATATAGAAAGGAAATAAAAAATTAAATTTATAAATATATAAATAAATATATTTAATAACCATTAAATTTAATATGATAAAAATCATAAATATTAATGTAAATTATAAAAATAGGATGATGTCTCTCCTCTTCTAAAATATATGCAATGAGACAGTTAATTGGTTTTACCTTACTAGCTTTCTTTAATGTTTTTCATTTTTAAGTGTTATATTATGATAATCATAATAAACTCATAATAAATGAAGACTTTTATATTTCACATGATATTAATGTCCTATGATATTGAGTCTACCAACAAATAACTTATTTAATTAACCTTTATGTATAAACCTTAGGAATAAATAATGGAGTAAGAGAATATCTTTCACGAATCATAACTTATGATTTTTTAATTGTTTTATTGAATCGAATTTCTCTATGAAATAATCATGATTAACATCTCCCAAAGCAAAGCAAAGCAAAATCCTTCATGGATTACCTACCAAAATAATATATTGTAGAATCCACAGTAGGTAAGTGGCATGTGACAAAGGGTTGAAATGAGTGTTCGATTTTATTTAATTTTTTACGAATCTGCTTGGTGCTAAATGGCATCAAGAGGCGTCAATTTTTACAGCAGAGATAGTATAACGGTCATGAACCTTGAAAGAAGATGCAGAACAAGACAGAGAGCGATAACCAAGAGAGGCATCCTATGTAGTAGTAGTAATAACATGGTGGGATGCCAATTTTTTTCTCTCACATAACTTTCTGATTATTTTGTTTCTAACCTTTTTGTAAAGTGTAGCCCCAAAAGAAGACCTGGTGGCCCTATAGCCAACAAAATATGCCCATGAGCCATAACAAGTTAGTATGTTTGCATATGTACACTGTTTCTGCTCCACTGTGGAGTTACAATTATAAGCACCTTTGAACTTTCATCAGACATACCGCAATTCTATAATTTCAAGTTTCGACCACTGTCACTGCCAACCATGGATTCATGTTTAAATTTCAAAATCTAGATTAAGAAAGGATAAGAAAGCGTTAAAACCACTCATTCTCAATCACTCAACGACGGATTTGGCTCGTGGGGACCAATGTAGCTGACCTTTGAGGTATACTCTAATATCCTAGTGTCCAGGATTTTTACTAAATTTAATTACTATATTAAACCTTTGTTGGAATTATGTCAAACCAATTGTTTTGACTTGTTAAACACACACCTACGGTGTAAACAATAAGTACCGTAACAATCACATCTTTTGCACTCATGTACCCTTTCTGACGTTCGATTTCATAAGTCACTTGAGTTTTGGCAATTTATATCTGTACATCACCTAACACTTTCAATTTTATCCTTTCTGTAGGGATATTCTATGGTGTTTTATTTTCTTTGTGACGTGAGCAAATAAATAAATCTTAAACCAACTGGCAAAAGAGGATGAATTAATCAAAGTTGGTTTGGGGCATAAATCGCCCATCCTTACCAAGGTGGCGATCACGTTCACAACCACTTTTTTGGCAATAATAAAAGAGGAGATACACGCCACCGACGAGACATTACAACCAACCATCCATCGACAGCTACTATAACATCTCTATTACAAGTTTTCAACAGACACAAGGTTTCAACAAAAAGTAGAGGGCATGTTTAAAGCGAAAGTAATAATTACAATCAACCAGAATCCAACAACAATAACTAATGGAACAGATATCCACTCCCCCAATGTATTAATTTGGGAAGAAAAAGGAGGCGATGGCACAATGGAGATTTGAGGAGAAAAAAAAAGAGAGGAAGAAATTCAAAAGTTTGGTACCAAAGAAATTTGAGGCCCAAGCTACAGAATACAACCAACATACGCACAGGATTTAGCATGTAAAATATGGGCTCCCACTCTGATATAGCAAATTCGAGAGGAAACTCAGGGAGAAGATTCATCTTTTATAATTCTATATCATTGACGGAATCATGTTGGATTTGGTCCTGGTCCTCTTTCAAGCTAGACCTTCGCAACTCTTCTATGCTCCTTACCACTTCAGACATTGAAGGGCGCTTGTCAGGGTATTGTGCTGCACAATCAACTGCAAGTTGCAACAACTGAACCATCTCCTCTTCCACATTCTGATACCTAAGAAGCTCGAGATCAAAGACCTCAGAAGTCCACTCTTCCCTTACCACAGATTGAACCCATCTGGGAAGGTCCACTCCTTCCTCATTTAGAAGAGCATGAGTAGGTGCCTTTCCAGTCAGAAGTTCCAAGAGCAATACACCAAAACTGTACACATCTGCCTTCTGAGACACCTTGCGAGGATCAGTCACCTCAGGTGCACGGTACCCAGCGACCCGGTTGGGGGTAGAGGAGGGGCCAACAAGGTGTGCGAGGCCAAAGTCAGACACTCTGGCATCATATGATTTGGTTAAGAGAATGTTGGATGACTTTATATTTCCATGAGAAACATTAGGCCCTCGTGAATGGAGGTACTCAATGCCACGGGCAGCACCAAGTGCAATGCCTGATCTTACTTCCCAATTCAGTGGTGTCCTACCCGCCCCTTTGTTTCCTGTAATCAAATAAAGATCAGAAACATCACCCATGATACCGTAACAAAGTAGGTACTAATCAGTAATGAATGAGGCTTTGCCCCAGGTCGTATTTCACAAAGTTCCAATGTAGCCTATTGGATCTGGGAACTGTTGTTGAAATAAACAGTGCAAATTTTCAACTTGAAAAAAATAAAGACTACATAGAACTCAATTATCCCCATCTACTAGAATCTGCTTAAAGCCTAGTCTAGTAAATAGCAGGAGATAGAAAGACAATGCAGACAAACAGCCATTCTTATGATCCAATCGGACCTAAAAGAAATAATGCGAAATCACATCTAAAATAACCCCATCCATATACATAAAAAAGGGAATGTGAAATGCATTTAAGATTTTAATTCCTAAAGCATGCTACCATAGATGCAGAGTAATGAACAATCACTAACATATCCATGACATGATGCATTGCCCAAAAAAGAAACTCAATTGCAGTAAGTAATGATTGTCCAAGCACTGGAAAAGGGCGAAATTGAGTGAAAACAAAGCATAGAAAAAAACTGAAAAGAGAGAATGAACGGAAAAGCTGACGAACCATGCAAAAGTGCAGATAAGCTTCCCATGGGCATGTAATCATAGACGAGGAGTTTTTCATCCCTACTGAAATAGTAAGCTCTGAGAGGAACCAAACTCTCATGATCCATAGCTCCCACCGCCTCAATCTTCTCCTTAAACTCCTTCTCAGAAATCGTCACATCCTTCAACCTCTTCACCGCCACTACCGGCCCCGCCTCCAGCACCGCCTTATACGCCGTCCCGAAAGTCCCTTTACCCAAGACCTCCGCCGAAGCCCTGAGCAAATCCTCCAAATCAAAAGCCCTCGCCGCATTCCCGAAAAATACCAACTTTTTCGCTCCCCCACTACCGTTCCCTTCCGCTTTATTCCCCGCCGCAACCGCCGCCACAGCCACAGCAGAATTGCCGTTGGCATGACCGCCGTTCTCAACATCCGGAACTCCTTTCTCAGCAACAACCTGGGCCTCAGCCTCAGGATGTTTCACAGTAGCAATGTCGACAGCGCTGGTCTTCTTGCCAGTCTTGTTCCTGCACACGAAAATGAAGAGGAAGACCAGCAGTAGAAGAAAGACGACCGATCCAACAACAATCCCCGCAATGGCGCCGCCGGACAACTTGTGGTTGGTGGTGTTATTGTTGGGCTTGGGGTTGTTGTCGACGGAGATGGGATCGGCGATATCTCCGTGGCAGAGAGAGAGTGGGCGACCACAGAGGGAGTTACCAAGAAAGGAATCCTGAGGGAATGTCTGAAGCTTGAGAGGGACAGAGCCGTTGAGGAGGTTGTTGGAGACGTTGAACTGATCCAGACTGAGTTTGCTCAGGTCGGGGATTGGGCCCGAGAGCTGGTTGTTTTCCACAAACAAAGTCTTCAATCGGGTTAGGCTGTTGAAGCCGCTGGGAAATGGGCCTGAGAAGTTGTTGAAGCCCATGTTCAACCGAACCAAGTCCGGTAACTGAAACAAAAACGCTGGGATTGCGCCGCTCAGCAGGTTCCGCTGAATGTAGAGATTCCGCAGGTTCACGCACGACGCCAGATCTGAAGGTAGGGAACCCCGCAGCGCGTTGAAGCGGAGACTCAGGGTGCGGAGCTGGGTCAGGTTCCCGAATATTCCCACGGGGATTTCGCCGGAGAGAGCAACACCGGGGAGGTGGAGCTCGACGACGTGGTCGCGCTCGCATTGGACACCGGCCCAGGTGCAGGGGCTCTCCCTGGTGGCGTTCCAGAAGAGGGTTCTGCCGCCGACTGCAGAACGTAGGGCGAGCAATGCGGCTCGCTCGGCGGCCAGATCTGCATCTGCTGCTGCGAGCATCAGCGCCAGCGTGGCCGCCACAACCACGAGAGTGTGCTTGTGAGGCAGCATTGCTCACTCGCGGCAACCGCAGCACGGGAGGTTATGGATTGTTTGGATTTTCGATGATTAGTATTGAATGGTATGGAGGAGTGAGAGAGTGAGCAACCAAACAGAAGCAGAAGCAGAAGGGACAGGGTTCAGAGTTTGGGAAAGTGGTGCATTTTCTAAAGAAATTGGGAATTAAAAATTAAATTCCGAATTAAAAAAATAATCCGGTGAGTTGGATGGATGTCCAGCCTGTGTGCCCAAGAAGACGCATACACACAACCCTAGCTGGCTTACTTCCCGCCTGTATCTACGTATGTTTCTACGTATGTTTGTGCGTATTCTTGTACGTGTATCTATGTATGCAGTATTATACACATACACTAAACTCAAATCACTACTATAGTCAACTCCTCTTCTATCTTTTTTCTTCCTTTTGTCTTTTTCTCTGCCTCTAATTCATTTCCTAACTTCACACAATACCACGTTAGAAAATTGAAGAATACAAAAGAGAGTGAAATGAGTGACCTCACATGTGTAGACGGCCAGAAACTCTGCCATCTTGATAGTAACCAGGTATCTAAATGAAAGTTTTCATTTTACTAGTTCCAATTGATTAAACACGTAGTTTAACTCTTGATCTGTGATTAATTTATTTCGTAATTTTTTTTATTTGAAAAAGAAAAAAGAAAAGGAATGATGTCATACCACCATACCACCCATCCACCAAATTCCATCTCTTCAACACATCATATCATGTTACGTTACACGACGGAATCTCAGATTCTCAATGCATAATAAAAATAAATCATTACAACATTATAAGTAAATGATACGAGATAAGAAAAAATCACAAAAAACTAAATATTAAATAATTGTTTCAATCTTGTGTAGGCCTTTTCTTCTCAAATTTTAAGCTGTTGGGGTTGATTATTTTTAATTCAACCGATTGAATTGACGTTATCGATGCACCGCTGGTTTGGTGGAAAACTCGAAACCAAATAAAACGTTGGTTAAATTACTTATTTGGTAAAAGAAATTAGAAGAAATAAAAGTAATGTGTCACCGTCGTCATAAAACGTCAAAATAATAAAATTATTACATTAATATTTAATAATATTATCTTTGTGAGTTTGGTTCCAATTCAAATTCCAAAATCAAATAATTGTTTAGAATAGTGTATGTGATGGTGGGTGAAGCTTCAAGTCGGTTATTGTAATTAGCATGTTTGATTATGTGTTAAGAAACATACTTAACGTGGTTTTTTACGTTTTCATAAAAATTATTGTTTTTTCACCACTTTTGGCTTCTAGGACTGACCATGTTTCTCTTCCAACATCATCCCTAATTGGAGTATTTTATTAAAAACATGTCGTGGGGTTATAATAGTTTGAGTGTGTGTAATGGAGGAGACGCAGAAAAAGTTAGCTGTTCCTGACACTATCTGGTTGGAAAAGCAAAGCCTGTCTTTATGTATGTCTGCTTTTCTACTCCCCACGCCACGCCAGAGACAGAGAGAGTGAGAGAGAGATTCATACAATACAAATCAACGACAAAACCTAGGTATGGTGATTCATCTTTTCTACCATTGCCTTGTTAATCACCGCGCGTGTGAAATGAGTGAGGTGAATTAGGAATAATGTAATTTGATAAAAATGCATAGACCAAGTCAGTAGTTAAGAACTTCCGATGTGTGTCTGTGGCGTCCTTCATACGGAGTTGAACAGGAGATGAACGGGATAAGTAGGGCCCATTCATCAGAAACGCCAACTCTAGGCCTTGTTTGGCTTGTCACGTCCTTCTTCCAATATTTGACTTCTCCTCCGTTACCAACCAAACCTTCTTATTTACCATGTTTCAACAAAAACATCACTCCAACCAAATGCCCCCCTATACGTGGAATTAGATTAGACATCACTCCAATATAAAAAGGTACGTTCAACCCAAATAAACTACTTTGATTTATTTTTTAATTACTTGAACCACATGAATTATTTGAACTATTATCAACGACATCTTTTTTAAGACATATTTTCAATGTTATAAATTATAGTTCATTTAGTTTGAGAAGTTCTATTTAATAGTAAAATAGTTTTTAAAATTTAAACTTCTCTACAAAGAGGTATAGGATCTTGATTTTTTTTTTATCTTGTCGCATTGATTTTTGTCGCCTTATATTATCTGAGTCTTAATAATAATTTTGAAGTCAAAATAATATATTTTTAATAAATAATAAACTATTATATAAAAAATAAAAAATTATAAAAGGATATTATTATAAATATATAAATATCAATTACAACACAAGAACGTTAAAATATAGCATCTAATAAACTAAAAGAATAATTTAGATTAATATATTTGATATAATTCACAATTTGGTTCAATTCTACTCTTTTCAACAGTCACCGCTACACGCCCAAATGTCAGTGAAAAGAAAATTAAAGATAAAATGTTCTTATGGGGTAAATTTATTTGCAATGCACATCGGATTCTTGAATTGCAATTCTCTTTTTTCTTCTCAAAATAGGGAATCAAATTTAATTAATTGAAAATAAATACAAATGATTATGAACCTAATAACAATGTGAACTGCACCGACCAGAAGTTAAGCTGTGGGCCACATCTTAATCTTCTCCAAATCTTCATTGTATTTAAAACTAGGATGCCAGCCACTATACATTTGAGATTTTTCTTATTATAAAGACAAAGTAATCAAAAACCACAAAAAAAAAAAAAAAAAAACAACAACAACTTGTGCTTAAAAAAAGACAATCGGTGATGGCTCCTAATGATTGCACCACATGACAAAGTCGTACTCGTCTTATTTTGCTACAAACTTTGTTCCGACTCGATGTTCTGTTCTGATCCGAATCCTTAACGTTAAAACCCCGTGGCTTCAGTCCCTGCAAATGATTCACCAATTTACTAGCATCCTATGAAGATGTGGATAACTCATTGGTCGTTCCTTTTCATAGAGAGGAATTTCTATTTTCACGTCAAAATCATAGTTTGGAAAATCAATATAAAAATACATACATACCTACCAAATACACTCGGAAAAGCACTGGAAGATTTCCTTGTTGATGCCTAGCTAAGAAAGGAACTAATAATTATTGGGTCCTGCAACCACCTTCATTTCATTATTCGTGTTGCCTTTATAGCTGGATAACATCACAAAACTTGGCAAATCGAATACAGGATTCAAATATATTACATGATGCAATAAACCTGGAATTGTAAACATACATTACCAACACATTTGTTTTCGGTCATCATAATAAAGTTCAGCAAATCTTGGACAACTATTTCCATCAAACACATATTTGTGTGTTTGATGAGAAAGGAACCACGCTAATTGCAAAAACACCACCATCATTCCTTCAACCATGGAAAATTCCAGATAATAAAAGTAGAATATAAATCATGGGGCATCCATAGTTGTACATATTGGCCCATTAAGATCCAATCCAAGTTGCTTGGGCTTCTGTTCTGTTGCTTGTCCTTGAGGAAAATTTTAAAACGATGACCCATAAACATAAGAAAGAAACGAAACTCTCGACTCCAAATAAAACTCATAAACATACCCAATTGTAGATTAGAGAGTAGAATTGAAACTAAAATCTCGACCCAAGAATATAACTCACAATCATAGAACAATTTCAAAGTCAGAAGCTTTTGTCATTGAGTCGTTCACTGTGAACGACCTTTCAACCCTGAATGCTTCAATTTTCTTCCCCCACGTTTTATTTTCGGTTATTTGTGGGACCAAAATTTAAAAATTCAAATCATTGACTTACCCGTGCTTAGTAGCCAAGAAAAATAATGTTCAAATTGAAAAACGCAAATCAAAATTTAAACCATTAAATCATTAAATAATATGTTAATAAATAATAAAAATGCATGTAGCATTTATTTTGAAAATCTTATCATTACATATAATGATGTAGAATTAAATAAAGTAAAAATGTGATCTTTTATAAAGTTTTGTTTAAATTAAGTTTCTCACTTAATGTAATAAAAATGAGTCACGATGGTTTTTTTTTTTTTTTTGTGAAATCTATAAATAGTGTTAACCCATCATCATCAGCTAGATGTAATAAATTGTTTCTAAAACACGATGAATCTTTAACCACAATTCAAGCATACAATCACAGTTTAACAATAATCTAATAGAAATTTTAAAAGTATTATTATTGTTTTATTTATTTATTTTTTGGATGGATTTGATATTAGTCGTGTTTAATGAAAAAAAAATGAATAGTGAGAGGAGAGTGAGAGATAAGGACCAGCGCGTTTTGCTTGAGGTGCAAGGATTTTGCAGCAGGAAGAAGCCTATATAACCGCTTCTCCTTTGACCTATTTTTCTCATTCCTTCGCTTCCTCCTCATTTTTATTTTTATCATTCTCCAAACAACAACTTTCGCTTTCAGCCCCCAAACCCAACCCAATCAGGTTTTACTTTCTCTCAATACTCCCTTTTATTTATTCTTCATTTTATTTCACTTTTTCCATCTTCAATCCAAACTTGAGTTGGGATTTACGTTTACCCATGTTAATTCATCTTTCATCTTAATAGGACTAATACTATTCTCTGCCTCTTTTACATTTAGGGTTTATTTCTTTAATATTTTTCATCTCAATTTCATTCTACGATTCTATTTCGATTCTCATGAACTCAATTTCCACTTGTCAGTTGGAGAGCGATCGATTAGAGTTACGCAGGATGAGCTCGCAAGAGCGAAGCCAGCGGTCTAGGGTTCCTCGTCAGGAATGGATTCGTCGAGGATCCACCGATCAGAATCAGAATGCCGCCGCCGCCGCCGCCGCTGGTTCCTCCAATACAACGAATCGCCATAGGAGGAACGGTCCTATTCCTAATCATAATCATAATCCAAATCCTAATCCTAATCCGAATGCGAATCCGAAGAATAATGTGCAGAAGAGATTCAATTTGAGGGACTCTAATTTGCCCCAGCTTCTGCAAGAGATTCAGGACAAGCTCGTCAAAGGTGCTGTCGAATGCATGATTTGCTGTGACATGGTGCGGAGGTCTGCACCAATCTGGTCTTGCTCCAGTTGCTTCTCTATCTTTCACCTCAACTGTATCAAGAAGTGGGCGCGTGCACCCACTTCTGTCGATGTGTCCGTGGACAAGAATCAGCGGTTCAACTGGCGGTGCCCTGGTTGTCAATCTGTGCAGCTCACATCGTCCAAGGAGATTAGGTATGTGTGCTTCTGTGGTAAGAGGCCTGAACCCCCCTCCGATTTATATCTCTTGCCACATTCCTGTGGAGAACCATGTGCCAAACCTCTTGAAAGGGAGCTTGGAGGGGATAAGGAGGTTCTTTGTCCTCATGTCTGTGTCTTGCAATGCCATCCCGGCCCTTGCCCTCCTTGCAAAGCCTTTGCCCCTCCACGTTTGTGTCCTTGTGGCAAGAAAAATATCACCACTCGTTGCTCTGACCGCCAGTCTGTTCTTACCTGTGGCCAGCGCTGTGAAAAGCTTCTTGAATGTGGGCGTCATCGTTGTGAACAAATCTGTCATCTGGGACCTTGTGATCCTTGCAATATTCCAGTCAATGCTTCTTGCTTTTGCAGTAAAAAGATGGAGGTGATTCTTTGTGGGGACATGTCTCTGAAGGGTGAAATCAAAACCAAAGGTGGCGTTTTCTCTTGTGGTTCAACCTGTGGAAAGAAACTTGGTTGCGGTAATCATATTTGTATCGAGACTTGCCATCCTGGCAGCTGTGGGGAGTGTGGATTATTACCATCCCATATTAAGACATGCTGTTGTGGGAAAACCAGATTGAAGGAGGAACGACAGAGTTGTTTAGACCCGATACCTACCTGTTCACAAGTATGTGGGAAGTCCCTTCCCTGCGGGATTCATCACTGTAAAGAGGCATGCCACGCGGGGGATTGTTCTCCTTGTTTGGTTCTAGTATCCCAGAAGTGTCGATGCGGCTCTACTTCCCGAACTGTGGAGTGCTGTAAGACAAAAATGGAGAATGAGAAATTTACTTGTGAAAAGCCTTGTGGGCAGAAAAAGAATTGTGGAAGGCATAGATGCAGTGAACGGTGTTGTCCACTTTCTAATCCAAATAATATTCAAGTTGCGGATTGGGATCCACACTTCTGTTCATTGCCATGTGGAAAGAAGTTAAGGTGTGGGCAACATGCATGTGAATCCCTGTGCCACAGTGGTCATTGTCCACCTTGTCTTGAAACCATATTTACTGATTTGACATGTGCTTGTGGCAAGACTTCAATCCCTCCTCCATTGCCTTGCGGCACACCTCCTCCCTCGTGTCAGCTTCCATGTTCTGTTCCTCAGCCTTGTTTGCATCCAGCGTCTCACAGCTGCCATTTTGGGGATTGCCCTCCTTGTTCAGTGCCTGTAGCAAAAGAATGTATTGGTGGGCATGTAATTCTTAGGAACATACCTTGTGGTTCAAAGGATATTAGATGCAATAAACTCTGTGGGAAGACCAGACAGTGCGGTTTACATGCATGTGGCAGAACATGTCACCTCCCACCTTGTGATAATCCATCTGCCGTGCCAGGTACCCGATCCTCGTGTGGGCAAACATGCGGTGCTCCAAGGAGGGACTGCAGGCATACATGTACAGCTCCTTGTCACCCTTCAATTCCATGTCCAGATACAAGATGTGAATTCCCTGTCACAATTACCTGTTCTTGTGGCCGAATAACAGCAAATGTTCCTTGTGATGCTGGTGGCAGCTGTGCTAATTATAATGCTGATGCTGTACATGAAGCTTCCATTATTCAAAAATTACCTGTGCTGCTTCAACCTGTTGCTGCAAATGGCAAAAAGGTTCCCCTCGGACAAAGAAAACTGATGTGTAATGATGACTGTGCTAAATTAGAGCGGAAACGGGTTCTAGCAGATGCTTTTGAGATTACCACTCCTAATCTGGATTCTCTCCATTTTGGTGACAATCCTGTTGCTTCGGAATTGCTTGCAGACATGTTGAGACGTGATCCTAAATGGGTTTTGTCTGTTGAGGAGAGATGCAAGTTTTTAGTACTTGGCAAAAGCAGGGGAAACACGCAAGGTCCAAAGGTCCATGCTTTCTGTCCTATGTTGAAGGACAAAAGAGATGCAGTGATGGTCATTTCTGAGAGATGGAAGCTTGCTGTGAATGTAGCTGGTCGCGAGCCAAAGCGATTTGTAGTTGTTCATGTTACCCCAAAATCAAGAGCTCCTGCTCGTGTGCTAGGGTTTAAGGGTACTACAACTGTAAATGCACCCCTTCCTCCTGCATTTGATCCTTTAGTAGATATGGATCCTCGGCTTGTTGTCTCTTTTCTAGACTTACCAAGGGAGGCAGATATTAGTGCATTGGTGTTGAGATTTGGTGGTGAGTGTGAACTTGTTTGGTTAAATGACAAAAATGCTCTGGCTGTTTTTAACGATCCTGCCCGAGCTGCGACTGCAATGAGGAGGTTGGATCATGGTACTGTGTATCAGGGAGCCGTGGTGGTGATTGTTCCGAATGTTGGGGCATCAATAGCATCTTCAGCTACCAATGCCTGGGGAGGATCTGGAACAATGAAAGGAGGAGGATCGCTGGCAGCATTGAAGGGTAATCCATGGAAAAAGGATGTTGTTCAAGAGCCAGGTTGGAAAGATTCTTGGGGTGATGAGGAGTGGGCTAGTGGTTCTGCTAATGTCCATTTGCCTAATCAGAAGAAAGAAACCGTCGTATCTTCTTCAGTAAACCCTTGGAGTGTCTTAAATCAAGAATCTTCTTCAAGTTCATCTGTTGCAGCTGTTAGAATTGATGTTTCTAGGGAACACTCCGAATGTAGTTCTGTAAAAAAGTTGGAGCCTCATAATGGTGGTTCAAATCTAAGAGGACAGCATGCAGGAAACTTGGATACTTTAGAAGATTCTGATGTAGTAGATGATTGGGAAAAGGCTTGTGAATAGTAAAGAGAAGGCGAGTAAATTTTTTTTCTCAATTTTACATTTTATTTTGTTGAGAAGGAGGCAGGTATTGTATGCTCTCCTAGTCTCTTTTTAATTTTTATTTTTAGTTTGGCATGAGGTGGACATCCTTCCTCTTTTTTGGGTTAATATTTTAATTTTCATAGTGGGAAAAAAATGGAGTAGTGATGTATCGAGCAATTGACGGAAAAATAAACTTTGCTTTTATGCCCTGAATCGCAGTTGGGGGGCTGTAGCACTTTTGCAGATCGGAAATGATTAGTCAATAGTAGGTCATTCTCATCTTGGGTTTTGTTTTTTTTTTAATAGTAAATACCCTTGTTTCCTTTCAATACAGATGAAGGAATTGTTATCTTAGCAATTTTGTTGGTTATTAAGGAGGATTGATTATTCTATGGAAATTATGCATATCTGATAATCTGACATCATCTAAGAAATGCCTGCTCCCTTCCTCTCACCAGCACAGTTTTCAGTTTTCAAATTTCAAATATTGTTTGCCACATTAAAAAGTCTGAATGTGCGACTTAGAAACAGATTAGTTTCTCAGATATTTTAAATTAAAATTGCCAAGAAATGAATGTCCACTAAATGTTGGTCTCAATAATGAAAATTTAACCAGTATTTAGCAGTTGCTTTATAGTTACGATGCTTTATATGTTTCTTGGTACTGGTTTATTTCTTAAATATAAAGGATGGATCCTGAGATTACAACATGAACAATATATTTCTAACTCTTACCCTAAATCTTAAATCTTACTCCAAGTGGAATTGTGGATCCCTTCTTCATATTTATGATATTTTCCTGACGTTGGACTTGTGTTGGAATGATGTCAATGCTTTTATAATCCGTGTTTCTCCTCGACCATTGAAATAACGTGTAATACTCATTACAAGAAATACCCTGAAGGCTTTTAGTTTTACAGATTTTGATTATGAAAAGTTAAGGCTCTTTTTTATCAACTCGATGTTATTCTCACGTAGGAACTAGGTGGTGCCACTTTTAAGATAATCTCTGAGATTCTAGCACAGCTTGTAACAATTATAATCAATGTTGTAAGAGATTTGAAATATGATTTTAGTAAGTAGTTAATTTTTTGTTCTGTTCAGTCTGATAAATAACTTATTGGTTGTTATCAATGACGATGTTTTGTCAAATTATGCATTTTTTTTTCTCTCTATATACTGTGAGACATTTTTATATGAATGTAATGATCTATTAGTTGAAAAAAGATCGTGGGGATTATTCTAGAAAATATATGAACAAAGTATCAGACATATTTAAAATAGAAAAAAACAGTTTTAGAGATTATTTCAATTAAAAAACGGTAAATTTAGTAGAATTTAGTGTCCTATATATTAATTGGAGAGAAAAATAGAAGAGGATTTGTTACTTTAAATATGGAAACTTAAGAATGA